CAAAATTGTATATTTTAATAACTGTTTCATTGATTTTATACTTTGAAATAGCAAATTTCTGCTCATTGTTGATTTATAACAAATTAATATCATCCAGATTTGCCTTCTAAAGATTCTGAGCAAGTTTCGTTCAAGGATTCTTTTGAACGCATATTTTCAGCACTGGTAAAGTTCGGAAAATGTCTGTAATTCTACATTGAAAGAGAATAATTTTTCTCTCTGTGTATTTATGCATTTTTTTTGTATTCTCTAAAGTAATACGTTCGAACAGTTTCACGTGAAAATTTATCCGGAATTGCAGAATATTTTGAGTTTTCCAGTAATACTCTCCAAATACTATTTCTGCCGAAGCCATAATCTATATACAAAGATTATACTTTTCTGGGAAATCCTCGAGCGTGGTGGAAAGTCGTGGTGTTTGCGGAATGGAAAAACAACATGTGTGACGCAGAATTTCCATTTGTCGTCTGCACACGTCAGAATAAATATCACTTGACGAGGATTCAATACATTTTCCGCCATTCTTTGGCTGATATCACACAAGGAAAGTGTATTTGCCAGGCCGATGATGCGTGGTGCAAGCTTTGCATGTAATTTCGAGTTTCTATGCATAAGAAATTAGATTTCTTTGGTGTGATACGACGACAATCACAAGACAATTTCATATATTGTGCTGATCTGGATGGCGAACGACAAGTGTTGGCAGTTTGCAGTGTGTGTGTGTGTGTGGAAAACTCCCTTTGCCAGTCAGACAGTATTTCCCACCCTCAAATTGTCCATTAAACACAATTATGACTTACTTTTGAACACAACTCTCTCGCCAAGGAAACGAGGCGCAGAAGAAGTTGAAGGTTTTCTCGCGAGAGAGAGAAGAGGAAAATTCGCGCTTGCATACAATTTTAGTGTGAAATTCTAGCGCTGACGCGAATAAACTTATATTGAAATATGCAATGGAGAAAAGAATATCATCTCGGTAGATATGTGTGTTTGCATAATGAAACTTGAACATTTTCCATGCATAAGAAATGGCGAATTCCCTCACAGTTTGATTCAAAAGAGATACAACTACTCACACCAACTTTCCCGAGTACGCGACGGTGAATTTTCCATTTTACACATTTTCCATAACATATTGCATATGACTCTGGCGGCAGAATTTTCCCATACTCTTTCACCATACCACACTTGTGCCGTGGAATGAAAATCTGAGAGAATATTGCTGCAATATTCACGACTGTGAAAAACTTTCATCGCCAGAAGAGTGATTGGAAATGTGAGCTGAGTTTGAGCAAAAAAATACACCGACTAATATATGTAATTAATTGTTTCACAACGCCTCTGGGCACTTCTGCAAAGGGAAAATTATGATAAATGATCAATGTGCGCCCGTTTGATGTGGATTTAATAATGTGCACCGCATTTTTCTGCTTCCCAGAATTATGAGGTAAAAAAATTTTCCCGATTGACTGAATTGAAGGAATTTTTTTTTTCATTTATCATGATTCCATGGTTAAAAGGCTACTTTTATTGTTGGAAAAAACCCTTTGGCACCACATTAATTAACATCCCAGAACTTTCAGTTTCCTGGAATTTCCAATTTCATAACCAAAAATTCAGGTTGTATAATTGTTAACCTGAATTGGGCAACCAAATGATTTCTGGCTACGACACATCAGAAAATAAATATAATTTGGGGTAAAGTGGGACAGTTTGGTATGAAAATTTGAGTATTGACTTCCGATATATTTTTCCAAGGGGGATATAATATGCCTTAAACCTGTACACCACTTCCAAATTTGTCTGTTTCCACATTGATTCCCAAATTTTAAATAATCTCACGAGTTTCCATTCGATATTTCTACACAAATCCACTTTAAACTGCTTTTAAGGGTATCTTTTCCGACCCTAACCTCAAAAACACCACTAAGAGAGCTGCAAAAGACTCTTTTTGCAAGCTTTCTGAATTAAGAATTGCTGATTTAGAGTTCAAATTGCCCATAAAATTTTTGAAATGCACATAATCCAAGTCCAAATGACTCTATTTAAGGTTATGTTCGAGTTCAATACAGTTTGCAGTATTTCTTGGTATCCAATGTTCAGGAAAGCGATGTTTATTGCATGCAAATACTTAAATCTTCCTATGACTAGCGATCTTTCTGACATTAACATAAGATTTTATGTGCTAGACTGCAAATTATTCGCTAAATCTGTTCGTAATTCGTTACATAACCTTGAAACAAATTTTTATTATTGATTTTGCATGAAAATCGCAAGGGATCCAAAGAATTGGGATAATTTTTGAATTACAGGAGCACTGAGGAAAGGGAGATTGTAAGTTTTTGAACACTTCCGCTGAGCTGTACACCACTTCTGACTTTTGGAATTCTATTTTTTTACAAGCTTCAGACTAAGAAAATGCAAGGGCGATTTAATTCACTGCGTTTTGCACAAAACTGCCCCACTTTCGGGTAATTTCGGACAATTTTTCCCAAAACAATGATAAAGAATGCCTTTAAACAATTGAAGAACAATTTCTCATGGCCAATAGATTATAATTAAAGTTTGCTGGAGACTTAAGTCCAAAAAAATTAATGTCTCAGCAAATTCTAAAGAGTGCAAAATAGATTCTGTGTGAAAAACTTTCCATATTTTCTGTCTTTTGTGGGAATTTTTAGGCGCCATCAGGACTTGCTCGTCGAGTGGCAAAATTTAGCATTTTTGCGGGTTCAAATGAAAAATGATCCAAATGAACACCCCATTAATTTGGAGGAAATTGTATGTGTGTTTCACATTACAGTTGTCAGATGGCATTTTTTTATTTGTCATTGTCTCGCTGATAAAATATGAGACGTTAACAACTCGAGGCGACATTTTCCTTCTCAGCATGGCCTGATGAAGAGACACTGGCTGAACACTTAATCCTGGTTTTAATGCAATCAATCTTATTAGGGGCGCGGCGTGGGAAGAAAAGGCCAAAAATTCAACACACTCGGTGTCAAAATGACTTTTCTTATCGCCTCAGCACGAGTGTCGTGAAGGATGCCTCCCGGCGTCGCCGTTTCCCCGAGGGGGTGGGAGGGAGAGAAAATATCTGGGACCATTTACGGATGAGAAATATTGAAAGTCGCCGCCATATAACATGCGTGAGGAGCGGTATATCAAAGTTTTTGGTACGTGATCTGAGTATTTTGTCAAAGATTTCGCATCAACCACATTTGCTCGCCCCATTCCCAACACGCATGACGATTGAGTGCTAACAAGCCTGCAAAATGCTCAAGTTTTTCAGGGTTCTTTTTTGCGCCCCAAAAACTTTTCTCAGCATTTTTGCATTTGCCGCGCTGAATTCAAATTTCGCCCCATTTTGCGTCACACGCGCGTCTTCACGCGGTTTTAATGCAACATTGATGGATGTGTAATTAGGCATTCGCGCGCGCTAATTTCTCATGCGGAGAAAAATTCTCAAGGGGTTGCTAATATTGGGGATGCAGTGTCACTTGGGCAAAAATGAAGTTCCAAAAAATCCTTTCCTTCTTCGTGAATCTTCACCTCATTTTCAGTGCATCGTAATTCCCAATTGATTCGTTCCATAGAACGATTTCGCAGTTGTTTTCAAAGAAAGAAACAGATATTTTATCTTGTTATTACTTGTATTTCTTCAAAATTAATTGTTAATTCATTCTGCTCAAATTTTAAAGAGTGGAAGGGTGAATTTCTTAGCGGAAAAGCTTGCAAAAACATCAATAAATAGACAACATTGTGCAAATACTTAATCTTTAATCGGATACTTAGGGTTTTACGTTCAAACGTGTCCAAAAACTGGTCCAAAATATTCTCTTAACAATTTTCAAACCTAAAACTACTGGCGAAGAGACTTTTTCCGTTTTCTAATCATCTCTAAATCTTTAACAAGCAAATCTTGTGCATCGCAATGCAACAAAGACGCAAAATGTTTTGACATTCAATCTTAGCAACCCCTTGAGAAATCTTGACCTCGAGGCTGAACACAGTGAAAGAAAAGGGCGATAGAGAAAAATGCTAGAGTGCCTTTTAATAGGAAGAGGGCATTTTGATGGCTTCTTTTGTGTTTGACTCCTGAATTAGTCCGGAGAGGAAAAAAAAAGAGCGGAGGAACTTTCGCCCTTTATTAGATGAACACATTCCCAGTGAAAAGCACTTGGAAAGGCATGGCGGGCGGCCATCAAAGTGGCTATCAATTGAAAAAGTTTTACTCAATTTCCCTCCAGATGAACGAACGAGTAAATAATGTTGTGGCAGAGCCTGATGGAATACACACTCCACTTGCTCTCTCTCTCTCTCGCTGATGATTCTCTCACTGGGGCGGCTAAAGTTGGGCCGGCGGAGCTTTTTTCTCATTATCCTGCCCAGCGTCTTGCACGTGTGGCGATTGCAGGCGATTCCACCCACTCGAGAGTGCTTTTCCATGCGAAAATGCCTCAACTCCAATCGGGAAAGCAATTGTCAAGCCTTAAAACTGATTTTCTTGAGCAAAAAAATCCAAGGAAATTCAAATTATTGCGCTATTTAGTTAGAAGAAACTTTGAAGAACTTTAAGTATTTAAACAATTTCAACAACGCATCACTTCTGATCATATTATCTCCCCCTTGACAATTTTCTCATCTGAGTTATCAAATATGAAGTAATCTCTCACTGAGCAGAACGAATAAATGACAGGAAACTCATAAATCGCCAAGTTGACCCTCTTGACTGAGCGCAGAATTACATCTTCACTACATTGTGCAGGAATTCTGTTTAGTTCTCAATTGGGTGAGTTATTTTCTCAGAGTGAAACTTCCGCCAATGTCCGGAAATTTCAACAGATTTCACCTCATTCTTCGCATCAGTTGGGAAGACAGAAAAATCATTTGCCGGCCAGGAAATGGATAAACGGGAGGAAAAGACAGTAAAATGTTCTTTTTGAGTGATGTTTCACATTTGCATCGTGCATAAGCTTCGCATCGTCACAGAATTGTCAAGTGGAAAATGTCATTTTGGCGACCTTTGTGATCATTGCGATCGTCAAGACGAAAACAGTGAAATTTAGCGAGTTATTAGCAAGGATATTAAGTCGTGATTCGATGTTTTGTGTTATCAAAAGTGTCAACAATCGATAGAAGGTGGGAATATTACGAGTTATTCGCTAAATACTTTGATAATTCACTTTCTGCGGGTTGTATGAGATTTTATTGTTTTCTCCCAACAAAGAGAGAAAGTCAGATTGTCGTACGACAGTCTATTTTCTTCACGTGCTCAGCAGAGCATTGCAACATTATGAAATTCGGGGATTCCCCGCTTTCTATTCCTGTCAATCTAAGATCTGTCCACGTTTTACATTTCTTATCGCGCTCTTAATACTTCTTCAGACGATAAGACGTGATATTTAAAAACACTCTGTCGAACTTTCTAGTATCAGTTGCAAATTTCCACTCAATCGCTCGAGAATGGCAGCAAAAAGTGCAGAAAGTGAGGCAATTGTGGATAGATTGACGGCTTGGGATCGCCTTCAGGAGATGTACAGGCTGATGGGGCACGAGGACGAGATCATTTGGGATGCATACAAGTGTGACCAGAAGGAGGAACTGTACAGAAAGGTGATGCTCGCCATGGGTGTCAACGAGCAGCCGGAAAAGCCCGACGATGAGAAGTCAAAGTGAGTAAATTCAATAGCTTAATATGTTTCTTATCAATTAGCCACAAAACAAACAATTTATACGAGATAAAGCCAGTGAATTAAGAGAATGAGTATCAAATTCATTAAATATTTGTGCAATATTAACCCTTGAGTAGTGGTTTTAGGTTATCTGCAAGTTTTAACAACCGATTTTTATTTTGCAGGAAAACTCACCAGAAATACATGGAATTGGTGGACAAGATATGCAAAAGCATTTGGAGACAAGGTAATTCACCGAAGCCAAAGTGATTGAGCACATTTATAGCCAAGACTAAGAGAAATTTAGCAGGGAAATCAAGATTTATATGATTAAGCTCCGCCCTCTCTAACGCTCCGCCCATTTTTGCAGCGAAATACACCGGCGGCAGTGTTGTGATGGCCATCACTTACCTTTGCATGGTTCCTGTGGACTCGACAACTCTCGCAATAGCGCAGCTGAGCACGCAATTCACCATGACGCCGGTTTTCCGGATCATGAAGTGTGTCAAGTCGGTGAACGACAACTCGGCTCGCGACTGCTGCATGATCTTCGTGGATGTCAATGCGAGAGTGTACGCAAATTGGGAGGCTTTTTGCAAGGAGAACATCTTGCCGGAGTGCATCGTTGTGGCGCCGAAGAAAGGCATCTTCATGGGCAAGAAGGTCGAGGACGAATGGTTGATTGCGCTGGAGAAGATGCTTTCACCTGCCGCCACTCCGGACCAGAAGTTCGCCAGGGGCGCGGATACCACGGCTTCGTACGTGGGAATGACTGCTGCCGGCGTATTGGTCGGAGGACTGATGCTTCCTGTTCTGGCGCCACTGGCCGGAGCCGCTGCTGTCACCGGTGGGGCTTGCAGTCTGTGGTCTGCGTATCGATCGGGAAAGAATCTCAGCGATCGCAGTGAACACGAGCAGTCAATCAAATTGTCTGACGCCGAAGCGCGAGCTTCTTGGCTAGGAGTCGCCGGTGGAACACTGGGAGTGGCTTCAGGAGTTGCAGGGAAGGCCGTGGCCTCAATGGCGACCAACGGGAAAAACATTTCCACACTCGTGCAACACACCGTCACTGGCTTGAACGTGTCCACGTTGGTCGTGAGCGGCGCCGGAACGATCAACGGCTTCGTTGACATTCTGTTCGTCAACGATGATCAGCCGGTGTCGAAACTTCAGCTCGTTCAACTCTCAACGTCGCTCTTCATGTTCACGCACTCAGTGTACAACTTCCAAATGACCAGCACCATCATTGAGGGCCACCAAGACATGACCATTAAGCAGATGCGGGAGAACTTGAGTCGAAACCAGGGGCGCGCCTTCGACAAGATGGCCAAGGAGACCATGAGACTTAACTCAAAGACAGGCAAAGCGGACATTATTCGCTCCCTGCGGAAGATTCCCGATCAGAAATCCTACTTTCGCGACATGTACAAGATGAACAAGCAACTCAACAACGCGAACGTGAAGCCATCCTTCAGCGGAAATGCCGAGCCGCATCTGAACAGTCAGCCGTCAAATGCCATGCCGAGTGAGATCAGAGCCAATCTCAGGGCTGCGCCTGCAGCTCAGGTCTTCCAGGAAGTCCCTGCGCACAATCCTTCCCTGGGATCTTCGACCGCTGGCAAGTTGCCACTGTCGAGCGTCAACAATCCCGTCACGTGGGTGAACACGGCCGTTAGATTTCTCTCCGCTCTGCCGCACCTCATCGGTGAAGACACCAAAGACACGCTGCTCAATATCGCCGAGAAACTCAATGAAGTTCTGTTCAATAAGTTCGTATTCTTCGTCAGAGTGTTCATCGAGCAGTTTGGCATGGAAATTGAGAGAAATTTGCGCAGAACTGTGAGTGTTGAGGAATATTCGCAGACAATATTCAAGATCTTCGAAGATAAGGCGAGAAGAGCGCAAATGAAGATTTCGGAGTACATTGATGAGTTGAGAGACGAAAGAGACAAAAACAGGGTCATAAAGGCTGAGATTGTGGAGTTCTACAATAGTCAGGCTTATCCTGTGCCCAACAAGGCCTGTTCCGTTTGCGGTGGGATGTTTTATGACGAAATTATTGTGTCACAGAGTCGGGAAATTAGAGTTGTCAAATCAAACTGAATGAGAAGTGAATTTACCGTAGGAAATTCAGAGATTTGACGGTGAAAACTGCTGAAAAAGCAATGATTTGATAGAAACGGTTAAGTTAGAAATGGCTGGAAAAGAAAAGCTGGCTTCTGTTACTCCTGGTGGCTGTATTATTTTTTATATCCCACATTATGATCAGCCTGATTCCCAATTTGAATGTAATCTTGAGAAGGTCAATAAATAAATAATTTGAATATATGCATAAGTATTGATGTGATAGAATGCGAATTATTCACAAAATCTGTCCTTGATTTGTTGCATAACCTAGAAAAGGGATTATTGTGATTGTTTCTCCGTAAAACTCAAAAGAAATCCAAAGAATCGGGTTAATTTGGCTGTAAAAGAAGTATTTAAGGAAGGAATATTGCAAGTTTTTGAACATTTCCACTGTCTAAAGAGTTTTTTTTTGTCAATTTTCCAGTTTTCTCTGCGAAGAATTGTAATCGAAAATCAACCAGAATCCAAAGAGGCTGTGAAACTAATTCACAGGCTTTCAATCTCGCCTTAAAACCTCTTCAACTAAGCCTTTTATGTGCCACTTTGAGCTGTACATAAATTGATATTTTCGCGTGAATCACTTTCATAGTATCTCAAGTGCTGTGGTTCTAATGATTTTATTTATTTGGCTGCATGACTAAGTAATGGCTTCACTTCTGGCTTTATTGGGCGCCATTCTTCGGAGTGCTGTGGAAATGGTGCATATAACTTTTTATTTCGCCGATTATGGATACGCATGTGAAACATCAATGAGGGATGTGTAATTCCCCGATAAAGACAACTGCCAATGGTTTACGATGTGCATTAAAGTGGTGTAAAAGGCACCAAATTTCGGGGTGGGAATTTCGAGATATGCTTTTTGAGAATATCGCGCGGTAAACTTTTGCATGATTTGCGCTGACTCATTTGCGATCAATTATGCTGAAAGATGTCGCGCTAATTTGGCGGGAATTCGGCTGTGTGTCAACGTCTTTTAGGCATGAAGGGGGGGGTGGTTTTGGGTGGGCGAATCAATGACATGCAAAGTTTGCGCCATGTCTCGAAGGATGTTGTGTAAACATAATTTTAATTGAAATGCGCACAATGTGGTTACAAGCTTAAAAACTTTAATAACTAAAGCGACAATGAATGACAAATGACTCAAAGTCGCTTGTAAGGTATTCATAAGCACTCCGTTTCGCCCCCTCAAACCCACGGACTCCACCCCTCATTTGCTTTATTGTTATGCTAGTAATATGTGCTTGTATTCCCACTGTATTTATAATTTATTCAGATTCCCCCCAAGCTCCCGCTCTCTCTCTCTCACCAAATAAATTTGATTAAATATGCGAAAGGGGGTGTTTTGTCTTTTTGCATGTCTGCAAAAACACCCCCTCATTCTTGCTGTGCTTCCATAACTTCCCATTCTTGAGCATTGGGATGTTGTACGAGAGAATTTGCCAGATAGTAAACGGCTGCGGATGTTGAATGGTGTGAGATGAATGTTTTGATTGTACAATTCACGCTTCACTGGGAATTTTGGGTTAATTTTCCACTGGAAATTGTACCACTAAGTTATTTTACTGTCACTGCTGACACTGTCTTTTGCCAGAGCACTGAATTTTTATGGCAACTATTTCGCAAGAGCATCACAGTTGAAGGTCCTTGGAAGGACAAGAGTGTGCTATTTTCGTCCCAAATTGCTGCCCAGATCAGATATCTTCGTTGATCGCTAGATTACAAGGCAACAGACTTAGATTATCGCTGGTAAATTAATGATGAATGCAGTGGAACACTTGCGAAGGGGCGGGGCATTCGAGGGGGCGTGGCTTCGTCCACCTCCTTGAGGTCATCAGTCCGTGCGGACGATTAAAGGTGTCTCATGAAGTGCAGAGTCTTCGCCCCGGGCGACAGGCCAATAAGACAGTGGATAAAGGGTGTGCTTGGCCGAGAGATGGGGGTCAGTGTAATTGGATGGTGTGGGCGACCTGCAACTACTCGGAAGCTACTTTGTCGTGGGATTTTATGGCGACGGCTTGGGAAATTGAAAATGAACCTATTTGGGACCATCTGGTGTCCAATTTTTATTTGTTCCCACCGCCTCAAACCCACCACTTCTTATCGTCCACCCACGCCATATATATTTCATACACGTAATGGGGTTTCAGGGTGGATTAGCTTCCCAACTACTGCTGAGTGTTGTTGGGAATCAAATTTATGTCCTCACACAGTATCGGTTATGTACTTTTGCCAATTTAATTCCCCTTTTTTTCTCACCCACGCTCTGGCAACTGTGTGAAGGGTGAGAGAGCGAGCGAGAGAGGACTAGGCTGTGTGTGATAGAATGACTTGGTTTTATTGACGTTATAATTTTCTATCAGACTTTTTTGTCACTGCCAAAATCACACACCCTTTTATGGAGCTCTATAATATAAAGTCAAAAAAAACAGCCATCTTTCGGCAATGTTTAACCCATTAAAAAATTTCCTCGGCAAGCGTCCGGATAAACATTTGTTTTTGAAATAAAAAAATGCACAAACTTCCATCCATCAATAATGGCAAAGTGCGCTTCTTCAGCTGCCAAAAGTGTCGCGGAGAAGAAGTTCGTTCGCGCCCAAGAATGAATTATCAAGTCAACGGACGTCATTACAATATAATAAAGACTGGGAAAGCAATATTCAAATGTTTATATTACTAATGAGAAAATCGTGTAAAGTAACTTCCGCAGATGGAATGGGGGCGCAGCATTAAACTGGAATTTTTGCCTCTCGGCGGCCAAAGTGGCTCCGCGGGTGGATTTTGGGGGGTGGTTTGCGCATTACAATAAAGAATAAAACTAAAGGCGAAATGGGTATTAAGCTGGGTTGAACGCGACGCGCTCGAGTCATTGAGATAAAATATTGCTATGTATATGAATTGCGGGGTGGCGCACAATTTTTTCTTTCTCGGGGGGCGGGGGGGGGGGAGTTGAGATGAGGGCTGATGATGGAATTTAAATTTGCAATTTCATTTTCAGCTTTTCGCATGACGAGAGTCGAATATTGGCACTCTGAAAGATAAATATCCATTAATTTAAGTAAAATGTTGAGCTTATATCGATATTGAGATAGGCAAATATGCACCAAAGCGCTCAAGATAATTGACTTTGCATTACCCCCAAGAGCTTCAATGGCGGGGAGTTGGAAATTCGAGGATATATTCTTTCGCCGTGGAGCTTCAGGCAATCTGCAAGATTCAATCAGACAACCGACAAGCCGAACTTTTCTGTCTATGCTGGGCTTTCAGTGAAACTTTCATCCAAATAACACTATTATGCCGTGTGTAATATTCCACTCTAGACATTGCAATGTTTGAGAATCAGGGAAATCTTGGCGAAACTCATCTAAACAGCTGGACAACTTACGCACTTCGAAAGTGTTTAGAGAATTTCGATAGGAACTTTTTCCAATTTTCAACAAATTGTGAGGTTATGAATTGATTAAAAAAATATATTTTTGGACAAAAAAAATTGCTGGAAAATTGATTATTTTAATAAGAAAATATATTTGAGGATATGTTTCACTCTCAAACTGTCTTTCACTCCTTTAACTATAAAAATTTTCATGTCTGTGGTTGGTTTTTTTTTGAGTGCAAATTTGTAAAAGTTTAAACTCTTGTCATAAAAAATGGAAATGATTCCATCTTTTATATAGTTTGTATACAATTATTGATATTTTAGATGTCTTAAATATATGCCTTAATATTAAGAAACTTTTAAGGGAAAAATAGGGCTGAAATTGACTAATTCTTCCTTAGGCTGTCAATTTTATTTTTTCACCCCATAATTTCAGTTTAAATTCATTGTCGATAACTCATTTGTCGAAAACTTTAAACCAACAACAAGCATAGTGAGATTTGGCGCAAAGACTTTCGCTGATTTGTACATGATTTACGACCACAAATCTCCCTCCCTTGGCTCTGGAATGCAGTGTGTAATTTTCCTCCCAATAAGTGTATCAATTTAATGAATTCACCCAGCTGAAATTCCCTTGAGATTGAACGAAAGAAATCCGTGAGAGTATCAGAAATGCCTCACCCTCTCGGGCGCAGGGTTCAGCGCAGTGTTGATTTAAATAATGAAAAAGTCATGTAACTTGCTCCTCAGTCAAAATTGTGGTAATTTGTCAAATGGAAATTTATGTCGACAACGGACTTTGGATAAGTAACACAAGAAGAGTCCACACAGCTTTTCACTTTGCACAATAATTCTAGGGCTGGAGAGCAGCGAGAGTGAGAATGTTCGAAAGGACGGATGAAATGGAACAATATATAGGAGGCATTCATCCTTATCTGCGTATTATTTCAGTATAATAAAGCATGAAGTGTCGTAACTGATTTGCATATTTGCTCAGCAAGTCGCCCTCTCGACATTCCCCGGAATTCGGGGCTCGGCTGTGCGCGCGGGGCGCGCCGAACCCGCGTGTAATGCGATTGAGATTCGGAGGCGAGAAATTCTAATGTATGCAAATAGTGAAGTCCTCTCGATTTCCTCTCTCTCCCTCGTGGTCCTTTTAATGGAAGTCTCTTAATTTGCCAAAGCCATTGCAATAATTCAGCCAAAATGCCACCGCAAATAATTTCACACTGCGGCAAACATTTGTAAGACTGCAAAAGAGATATTTCGTGTCAATATTGACACTCTTCTCGTCTTTGATATTCAATAAACACTCAAATCATCCCCACACCACTAAAGTGCTGTGGCAAAATGTGTATTTCTCACATCACGTGCAGGGGTGAAAATACCATATTTTGTGCCATTGATATTGAGTGGCTCCGGGAAACGCGCAAATCAAACTCATTGCAAATAAGACAGACAAATATTGCCTCTGCAAGGAAATCACCTTCGACAGGATAAACATCAAAGATGTTACATATATTGGAATTACGAATCAACCGCAAATTTTCTCTCATATCTAACGCTCTGATGGAGCTTTTGATTAAAGATATCGAGCGAAAGTGCTGAACTTTCGCTCATATTTTGTAGCTTTTCCATTTTATGCACTACTTATTCTTGTATATTCTAATGTATCCTCGTAAAGATTGTCGGATAAGTCATATAAATAGTGGAATTATTTGAAAAATTAGCTGCATTTTCCATCCAAAACATCGGACACAAGAAAATCCGTGAAAGCTCAAAGACACACAGAGAGTGTTTGTTGGCTTTTCTTGGACCATTTTCTCCAAAACATCACATTATAACACATTTTAATCAATGAATCCATGGCGAAAATCCCTTTTATCTCAACAAACAGGTCAACTCACCACTATAAATGTAAATTTTATACAAACACTGGCCAGCAGGACGGCTCTTCCCCTGTAATTCCATGAATATTTCATATCGCATGCGATAAAGCATGCACAAAGAATGCCCTCAACTGCGCAATGTATGTCGAAAATTGCTGGCATGAGAGTTCTTGGAGGAAGTCAACGCGTGCGATTGTGTGCAACCGTGATTTCAGCTAATCTGCGTACGTATTTATCACTTGGCCTTTATCAGCTCTCGCAATCGAACATATGGAAGAAGTCAGTTTGGGGAAAAAACCAGTGCAGAATGTCGATTTCTTGTGATACCTTTGTACTCTGCTTCCTGCTAATCCCGTCCATTGTGTCCTGCAGCCCGGCCAAAGGCTACTTGTTCATCCGCCATATATCATCTTCAGAGGAGGTGCGATTGCTGCCCAGGGGGCAGACAAAATGGGCAGAAGTGGTGTACAATCATTTACAGGGACTTGGAAGAAAACGTATTTGTCATTTTCTAGATTATGTGAATAATTTGAGACAGATTTTGTGAAAAATCTTATTATTGAGTTCTGAAAGATTTCTAGTCATTCGAAAATTAAGTAACTTTTGTATCTTTAAGGCTAAGAAACACTGCAAATTGTGCTAGGATCTGACATAATCTCAAAAAGGCCATTTTGAAAGCTTTCTGAACGCTTTTAGACTTCAATTTTGCAATTCTGACTTCACTAATGAATCCTAAGAGAATGCCATCTTTTATCTTTGTCTTAGAGCGATTGCAGACTTACGATTTTCGACCGAATTTTGCCGAATCTTTTTACATTTCAATCCCCACAAAATGGCGGAATTCTTGTGAATGATTTCCTGGTCAAAAATCGTCCAGTTCTTACGTAAAACTTTAAGTTTTTAAAAAAAAATTGCAAATAAACCAAAATTGTCACTATTATCGACAAAGAAGACCAATCTTTGAGTCAAAACTTGTGGATGATCTCAGCTTTAAACACTCCAAACTCATCCACTTTGCGCCGTTTCGAGGATAACCCTTAAGTGTGTAATCGCTCTTAGGGAAGTTTGTTCAGTAATGGCAGAAAGAGCGTCCAGGAAGTGGTGTACACACTTTAGCCACTTCATCTGCCCCTTTGTCGTGACCTCTAAGTGGATTTCTCTGGCACCGCAGAATAATTCTCCCCTCAATTGCAGCTTGAATTGCGACGAATGTGCGATGAAGGTGATCTCTTGGCCGCCACGAGGGCGGTTCAGCTCCAATTGAGCCCCGATTCCGGCTACCTGTGCCACACGACCAGATTTATTGGCCACTATTGGATGAAACTCGAAGACTTGCACGAGCTCGTGAGTCACCGCATCGACGGTGGTGATTTATCACCCGGCCATGTGATACTGAGCGACGAGGAATTTATTGGCGTGCAAAACAACACATTCTGCCGTGTTAATTTGATGGCCAACAATTGCACGCCTCTCGCAGGCGACCAAGAGTGGCCCGAGTCGTCATCGGCGGAGGTTCTGGTGAAGTTCAGCAAATATCCAGTCGTGCCTGGCGGCTATCAGAGCCTCAAGACCTACGCCATCATCCTTATCATCGTCTTGATGTGTGTAACTTTTACAGCAGTCATTCATGTGACGCAAAAGAGCGTCTCAGAGTGGCAAAAGAGGTTGAATCATCAATACATTTTTGTTGTTGATAACAAATAAAATTCGAATGAATTCAATTGCTGCGCGTGTGAGTGTTTCTCTTTTCCTAATCTTATCGAAAGTTGCGATAAACAAACTCTCCAGAGAAGATAAGAATTGGTGGAAAAAAGTGAACGAAGCGATTGGGTAAAGCGAAACGTGTCGCATAGGATTCAATTTAAAGAGCCATAAAGTATTTTGGTGAGTGAAATTAGAAGTAATTCAATAAATTCTGTTTCAGTTCTTTTATAATTAATGACAAATTAAGATTCTTGAGTAGAATTTATCTTCCGTTTTTGCGCCATGATTTCTGTTCCCCGCGAATTTTCGTCACAAAATCATTGCTCGCATGCTTTATAATAGCTGAACCTCGAACAGGCGCGGTATTCGAAGGGTTGAATATCGGCAAAGCAAGTGATTTGTGCGAGTCCATCATTCAGTATTAGTGACAAAATGGCTGTGATCAAGAAAGCTTGTGTCTTCATTACATTCACGGCCCTCTTCTTCTACCTTTACCTCTTCATAACGTGGAAGATCCAATTTGAGTACAACACTTTGACGGCCAGGAAGAGTCTTGATTTCTACAACTTCTTGTCCTGGAGCACGAGAAACATCTCGGAGTTCATTCATCCTGAGCGCAGCACTTGCTTAGTGTGTCCAGAAGTGCCGCAAGTATGCAAGGATGGCCTGGAGAGCAACAGGACGATCTTCTTCGTCACGACATCGCCGAACAACAGACTCCAGCGGAACGCCATCCGGTCGACTTGGGCGCAAAGAGCCGATCCCAAGCCAATCTTCCTCACAGGACGCTCGCCGGACGCCAAGACGATGGTAAAATTCCGTGCTCTAGTTTCGCGCGAAAGTTTCCCGGTCGCATGGCTTTCCAAAAGATAAGAAAATAATGTCCACAAAAGCACGTGTATTGGTGCTTCATAGTTTGAATATTGTGCAATAAGCATATTCACTTCGCGGATAGATAAGAGTGGAATTTAGTCCGCAACGAATCGCGTTTGTGAAAGTCTATGACCAGAATGCGTTTTTTGGCGGTAAAATTGGTGTGCTGAAGAGGGATTGATCTTGATCAGGAAATTTCTCTTCAGTTGGCTATCAGATGCCGTTTTTATTGGAACCCTCTTGACTTTGTTTCTCAGCCAGCGCGCGTATCAATTGTATTATCAAGTGTGTCAATCGTTAGAAGAGTGATATTTGGCATGATTGACAACCAAGACATATCTTTCTATTTCGCCCGCAGAATCTCTTGATCGAAGAGGCTCTTTCGTTCAACGATATCGTCGTTGAGGACTTTACAGATAGTTATGTGAACTTGACACTGAAGACAGGATTCATGATGAAGAACTTCCTCAGAACTTGCCCAAAGGCCAAGTATCTGATGAAGTGCGATGACGACGTGATGGTCAATCCGGATGTTATCTATTCGCTCGTGGAGAAGATCAGCGGCAGCAATAAACCACTAATCGGAAGACTCTTTCTCAATCCCGCGCCGTTTCGAGACGCCGACTCGAAGTACTACATTCCCTACTGGCTCTACGACAAGTCCGTCTTCCCGCCTTACCTCTCGGGTCCGGGATATCTAGTCCCGGGCGACAGTGTTGAGAGGATTCTCGAGGAGAGCGCCAACGAGCCTCTGATCAACCTCGAAGATGTCTACTTCACCGGCATGATCGCGATGGGCAGGCTGAACATGACTCTGCAGAACAGCAAGAGATTCTCCACCATCTTCTCACCGCGCATGGGCAAGTGCAACTTCCAGAGGGCCGCCATGGTGCATCATCTGGAGGTGCCCGAAATGCTGTCTCTGTGGAACTCAACGTGGGACACGAAGGTGAACTGCAAGAACAAGTTCCGATCCATCATCACGGGCTTCGGCATCCCACCTTTCTTCCTCAAGAGGAACTCTCTGGACTTGGACCTCGACTGACCTAGTTTGATAGTGAATTACATGAAATTCTCATTAGACCTTTAAGTGCAACTCAGTGTTGCTGACTTTGAGTCACAGTCAAAGACTCCTGGCAAGTGCTGAAGTGCTGATTCAAGGCGAAAATCTCCACGTTCAAGTTATCAGTTTTATATGATTAATTGGGTGTATTTTTGCAATCAAGCACAGAAAGGCAGTTGCGAAGATAAGTGTGAAGCTGTGTGTGTTTTGAAATTAAAAATTTTTCTTCTAAGGTTAATCTTTATTTCCTAAAATTGCAGTAAGATTTTAAATTATCAATAACATGGAGTTAGAATAATAAGCGCTCTGACAAATATATATTTTTCTAAAAGCTCTTAAACCTCGCTGCATGATAACAAAATTTCAAGGCATTTTATGCAGGGGTTTTCGAGAAAATAGTCTTGTAATTTTGAGTTTTACATATAAACAAGAATGCAAAACTTCAACTGTTCTTTTCAACTACGTGAACATTTAAGCGCTCTGACAAAGATATACTTATCTGAAAGCTTATTAAGTTCACTATTTAAATAGATAGTATTTGATCTTGAAATCGCCCAACCCGAGACATTTGCGGGGCATCAGTTGAAAAACATGCTAAAGAGAGAGAACGTACACACATCACTTAACCTTATTTATATTTTCTCACCCCTGATGTGGGGTTGGGGGTCACAATAAATCTTTCATATGCCACAAACACTCGACGCCAGTTTTGTAACTCTCGATGTTTGGGCATAGGCGGTTCGGCATTTGATGGTGGTTTGTATGGTTTGGCGCGCAAAACGCTGTGTCGAGGGGGACGAAAGACAAATGTATGCTCAGCGACTGGATTTGTATCTTTCATGCCATTCCCACCCGAAAAGGGCTCCACTCATCCATGGCCACCCTTTGGCAAATTGGCAGCCAGAGGCGAAGATTGAAAAGCGCGCGCCAAGGAAAAAAAAACCATTTTCGTATTAATTATTTGCCATTGTGGGTGAATTCAGAGATGCTGTTTATGTTTACACACCGTTGCGTAATGAAATGCTTCCTTCCTGTGTGGCAGAACAACAAGAGCGAGAGAGTGAGAGAGAGAGAGAGAGAGTCGATCCATCAAGTATTGATAAATTCCTCGAACCCAAGTCAGTTGTACCCGAAGAGCCTTAAATAATAAATTCCCGTGAAGGATTTATTGCACTTCGCGAGGGCATCAGATGGATTTATTGCGACAAAAACTTTCACTGCAGACTCGCGTCAAGGAGGTGAAATAATGCGATGGACGTGAGTGGTAAATTGCAGTGTCCAAAGCAGCCCCGCACTCCCCAATATTTGAATTTCATCAAACTGATACCACATAATCAGACCGCAAATAGCCAAACAATGTGGGGAGAATTTGAAGGAAATTATAGGTCTAATTCATCTGTCAACAGGGGAAAATTGGTGAGCAAACAAGAGGACAAAACGGTCAATTGGAAGCCAATAAAATATCCATCGCGAGTAATGCGCCGAAATTGTGCCCTTTATTTAAAGTCTCTCCTTTTCTCTTCTTGCCTCAAAGTCAATTCTTCCCATATAAATTACGTGAAATGAGGCAGGAAATTTATTCCTCAGCTCAGCAGGAGTGTTGTCGAAGGGATTCACAGTGCGGCTGGTGTAAAAGAAGTTCTCACTTTCTTGCGATCATGGAAGAAATTGAACAGTTAAACAGTTTTAGTGTGCTAATAAATCAGATTGGTAAGAAAGGCGCGCCATGAAATTGTGTGCAATTTCACATTAAATCATCTGTAAATTTCACTTGATATGCTGCACAGCTTCTATATTAAATTTCACGAAGCCTTCTAACATCTGAACAATTAACATTTTATGCGACAAATCGCACTCAATCCTAAGTTTCTTTGGCTTTATTATTTCTCTTTTAACCAATCCAATTGCCGGGGAAAGTTGGCAAATACCTTCAGGAGGTGTGCTGCATTGTTATCTTATGGATAATTGCGCCGTCGTCTTATGACAATGTACCAGAAGTGAAGTACGAGCGGAACGGAAACTTCAATAGTTTGCAGTACAACCAATTTGTCTGGATTAATTTGGAGGAAATAGAGACAAAGGAAAACTTCGACGAAGTTATAAAAGACTCCGTGAATCTCGGTTGTCAGGTAAAGTAATTATTTCCGAATCAAATCATCTCTAATTGCACGAATTCAGAGAAATTTCGGTGCATGAAGGATTTTATAAGAATAATACTGAAATAGGAGCTCAAATTACGAGCTTCTCTTTTTATTTAAAAAAAAATTCTGAGTGTACATAAATTGTAATAATATTCTGAATTACCGGAAAATAAGGTTATGTTTAAAGGCTTTTTCCAAGAGGAAAATCACTCGCAATTTCAGACCAATAATTTTTCGTGATTTTTTTTTATAAATTTTAATTCAATTATTAACACAAATTTTATTATTGCCAAGATTTTTAAAAATATCTTATTATTGTGTGAATTTTTTATTTATATTTTCTAAATATTAAAAAAAAAAATTGAAATTTTTTCAAATTTCATTATTTTCTTCACATATTGCCGCCAGAGGGCAGCAGTTAAAACTTTAAAGACATTTTTGATCCTGTGAGTTTGAATCCAGCTTGAGGCAAAATTTCTAACTTCCTAATCGTGAATATAAATGAAAGACAAATAATTTGATAGATAAAATTCTTTTATCTAGAAGTGTGTTTTCTTAAGATTATAGTAGAAATCAAAAGAAACAGAACTGACTTAGTATTTCTATTTAATTGCTATTCAAATATATATCGAACTTTGTATTTCGATCTGATGAAGCAGGCTTGGATTGTCGCCAATGAAGGCGTGAAGGACTTTCTCAATGCCTATGCGGAAGTTGTCGAGACGTGCGAACAGAGGCCGCAGAAAGTCCACATGATTTTCCACCTGAACGACTCTTCGGAGGACATTTCGCGGGAAATCCTGTCGCATCGCACACTCGAAGGTGAAACCACAGAATAAGGCGTCAGTGTCTCCTTTCCCACCGCAACTCATTCATTTTCTCTGTCTTGTTGTCTGTGCAAATCCGCGCCTTCAGATGTGCCAAACATTCTCCTGATAATCCCATCGACGACTTCGCGACACAACGCAGATGATGGAGAGTCATTTGATTTGGTGACATCGCCCTTTGCCGGACGATTTAACAACACCCACCCAATATTGCTGGATGTCTTCGGCAATTCCACACTCACCAGCGATGCCAATTTGTTTCCCGACAAACTCCAAAATCTCCAGCAGCGTCATCTAAGACTGTCGCTATTCAATTACAAGCCCTACACAACAGTTCAACATGTGGTAAGCTCTATTAATTGGGGATTTGCTCTCGCTCTTCCCAAAATTTTATTCCACGCGCGCCACAGACTCTGACAATGTTGGCACAGCATTTGTGACATGCAAATTAATATTATGCCATTCAGCACCTCAACAATGTCAATGTCGAGGAGTTTTGTGTACACATTTCCGCATCACAATTACTTCTTCCTGGGCGTCCAGACGACATCCGCAAGTCTCCTCCTCTGCAATTTGGCCCCTTTTGCTGAATGGTGTCCTGAAGTGTGTGCCTGACATATTTATAGTATATCAAGTGTTGTGGCCGAAGCCAATAAATTACGGAGCATCCATGCGATCCTGGCGGATGATTATGAAGCGCCTGGGTTGAGGAAGATGGCCTACGATGGTGTCAACAACAATGTGCCGGTCAAATTTGTGGTTCAGGAGTGTTTAAGGAAGATCCCACTTCTGACACCGGTTCAAAGTTTGTCTCAGAGAAAAAAAAGAAATAATTCATGAATCTCCAGAATCAAATTGAAAAAGTCTACAAAAGTGTGAATTAAAGAATGATTACAAAGAAATAATAGTAAATGAATAATTTTTAAGAAAACGGTTAAAGTGACCCGCCCAGAGAGCCAAAAAAGCTAAAAGCAACATTTTGATAAAAAATTTTGATAAAAAGTGCTAAGTTTATTGAGCTAAACTTTTAGCAGCACTCGAACAAAAAGTCCTAAGCCGAAGTATTGAAATGGAACCGTTAAAAATACATCAATTTACAGCACATTTTTAAGCTAATTTCTATGCTACGGTCAGCTAATTTTTCATCAACGATAATCGCAGATTCTGTTGCTGAATATCCCACTTCTGACACCAGCACAACCATATGAAAAAGTAAAACAATTCAGCCAGCGTTTGAATAATTCCACTGTCTATTTTGAAAAGCATATGCCCAACATTTAATCGGCCTTTGCCCAGCATTGCGGAGCTTCGTTTAGCGTGGAAAATGCATTTTGATGCATTGGTCAGTTTCCCATTAATCCAATGATAAATTATCAGTCATCAATCATTGTGACAAGTTTGCACACGGGATATTTATGAATTCATGGGCCACGCAAATGCATCCTCGTGTGTTTCACACACTCGCAAATTTTCACCCTCACCGCCACCAGGAATATTGGCATAATGACAAAAGTTTGCAAACACCCAGAGTTTGCGGGGACGCGTCTAATGATGAATTTTCCATGTTGCAAAACTCCATTTACGCGCTAATCTGGGGTATTATTTTATAAAGTCACAGCGGGCATAAATTAAATTTAAATCAACTTCCGATGATGAATTTGGCGACGTGAGATAATCACATTTCCCTCGAGTGAATGGCAAGTATTATATAGAGACGGTTTTTCGCTTAAATTAGTAATGCGGCGAAAAGTGATCAATTTCTCATGCATGCGGAGAAAATTCCAAGGAAAATGCCAAGGAAAAAGGAAAGTTTCATCCCCCCTTTTGTGCATTCCCGCATCCTCAAGCTAAAGACTTAATTAATTCAATGGAGAGTCAAGTGAAAAGCCCTCAATCTTCAGCGAAAACTTGTCACCTTTTCACCTTTGTCACGCCGCGGACTCACAACGTCTTTGACTCTTGAATTCCGAAAACTTTTCCCCTTCCACCCATCGCAGCGTCACTTTCCGCGGTGAGAGCTTTCCGGGTGAATTTTAATGAACTAATTCGCGTAATTGAATTGCATTTGACACCTGCAGGACGCCGGCAAGGGTAATGCCAACGCCATGATGACAGAAGAGGAGCTCACGATTCTCATTGACGGCACGGAATGTCTGATGTTTCTGGAGTTCTGCAGCAGACACAATTGCACACTCTTCATTTCCGAAGGTAAGTTGTCAGCCGATAATTCATCGATGCATCGACGCTCTTGTGGAAGTTTTCCACTCGCTTTTCCACCCAGAAGACAATATTATGATGTCAATTTCAAGATTAGAGCGATTTTCTCTTTCGAAGAAAAATGACAAACAGAGTTGATGAATTTTGTACGTGTTGAATAGACAGAGAAGAAAATTTATTAGATTGTATTTTAAATGTAATCGATGTTTTATGAGAATATCTTTCACTATAAAATCAATTTTTCATGTAATTCAGTCAAGAAATACACATAATTATCTCTTATCTTGACTCTCTTCAAATCTTCTGTTTTATGGCAAAAACACCACGATAAACTCAGAGATAGATCATGCAGCTTTTGAAGGATTTATAACTCAAGTTCGCCCAGTGAAATCAATTTATTTGTACCACTTTTTCTCCGGCATCTTCTCAATTTTCTCAAGGCGAATCGATCTTCAGGACAATTTAATTTTTACATTCGCTCCAGACAGAATTGAATTACCTTTCATCTCTGTCTGTGTCATATTTTCCAAGAGGGCCACAATTTTCACGACTTCTTTACACTTTTTTTTTCTTTCTGTGCTCTGTGAAATTGTGTAATGCTCAATGGCGAGAATTCGTCCTCTTTGCAGACGAAGAGGGACAATGGGGCGTAATTTATGAGAATCGCACTGGAAACGGACTCACAGGAGCTGTTGTGGAGCGAAGGGCAGAAGCCAGCGTCGGTGCACTTTACATGTGGTAAGTTGAGATGCCATGACAACTGATAAAGCCTTTGTATTCATTGCAATCACTGAGAGTTTGTCATCATTTGAAGGAATAAGTGATTCTTTTGATGGTCAGACAATCCTTCTTTGGATTCCTGCTCATCAGGATATTCCAAGAACTGAAATAGTAGATCAGAAATCAGGAAACTATCCCCTTGATGGATTATCTGTGAAGTTTCTGTGCTCATTAGGCAGAAGACTGCAATTGGAAATTTGTTTTCCTTAATTTACTTCGCAAGTGGCCAAAATTCAACTTTATTTCTGCTATTTTGTGGCAATTAAACCTACCTTAGTCGGTTGAATCATGCTTATAACCACTAATTAAACCATTACCTTTCGATTGAGACTATTTTCAGCCTCAAAAAATGCTTCTAAAATGTTTTTCGAAGAAAATTGGAAAGAAAACCAGCGTCCATGAGTGCTAAGGCGGTAATGCACTGATTTAACGTAAATTAAATTCAATTCTGGGGTTGTAAAAACACATTTGAATGTCTTATAAATGCCAAATGTCTCAAGAAAATAATCCTCAATCATAAGCACACTAAATCATCAAAATGTGTAAAACGCTACTTGTAATTCAACATATCTTATCAGAGAGTGCATTAACCGCATAAACTTAAACAAAGACGCGAACTGAAATCGTTGGTAAACATAACAGCGAAATCGCTAAGAGACTCTTGAGCATCAATTTATGCTTGAATATTATCCGTGATTTATGCAATTCGGCGGGCAAACAAGTCGCCCTCATTATCTTAAGCAGTCGCTGTGATAAGTGTGAGTGGAATCTAAATTCCAAGTGCCCCCCACTCGAGTCAGCTCCAGATTAGGTGCGAGTCTTCAGTTCTTCAGCTTCAGTTCCACGCTGTCGCGCCGAGTGAACACTTGTTGAAATGTCTTTGGCTGATAAGAAGGCTCTCATCACTGGAGCTTGCAGTGGCATCGGTTACGCAATCGGCGAGGAGTTCCTGAGGAATGACGCCAAAGTGCTGATCGTCGTGGACATTCACTTGACGGAGCCGGAGAGCATTGCGTCATGGCGCGCAAAGTATCCCAAGGCCAGCGTGAAGTACTTCTCCGTCGACGTGAGGCTGGACGAGAAGCTGAAGAAGTGCTACGAAGATGTGGAGAAGGCCTTCGGCAGCCTTGACATCGTGGTGAATTGCGCGGGAATCATGGGCGAGCATGACTACAAGAGGATGATCGACATCAATTTTGCCGGAATGATCGGCTCGAGCTTGTACGCCATCGAGAACATGAGAAAGGATGGCAAGGGCAGTGGAGGAGTGATTGTGAACTTCGCCTCCATTGTGGGCGTCGAGCCGGTGAGCGTTTGTCCAGTTTACAGCGCCACAAAGGTCGGCATTAACGCCTTTCATCGCTCAGTGGCGCACGACAATGATCAGCTGGGCATCAAATTCCTCAGCATCTGTCCAGGATTGACAGAAACTTCGCTCTTCGATAACAAAACTCATCCTGGCTTCCACTATTTGGCCACAGCAGAGAAACTCCAGAAAACCAGAGCAGCGATGAAGTCTCAAAAGTATGGACGAAACTTCTGCTTCCTATATTCTTATATTTCATTGAACTTCTTTGCACTTTAGGCCTGACGTTATCAGCACGGGTTTGATCAAACTCATACACGAAGCCAAAAACGGAAGCGTTTGGGTTATTGAGGAAGGAAAGTGGAGAGAGGAAATTTTCCCCGAATTGAAGTATTAAGAATACCCAAAGTTGTACAAAATTATCGGGAAATAAATGGGAAAAGGCATGCTGAAGTCTCTCAATTCTACTTCTTATCAATTCAAGGTCAGCCAGATTAGATGTTTGATGTCTGAATCTCCTTTCAGGTACTACGAATCTCAGTTTCTGACGCTTTCAAAGATAATTTCCCGCACTGGAATCACTTGCATCGTTCCCAGACCTGCGTAAGTAAACTATAACTTCTGTAGTTTAATTTTGCAAAAATCGCATAAAGAGAAGCAAAAAAGCACGAAGAAAATGTATGCAAAATCGGCAAGTTAGAAGAAAAACAAGAGCTTCTAAAAATACGTACTAATAGTTATTTATGAAATCATGATTTATAATGCTAATTACAAAAGACTTGTGACGATAATTAAACTCAATAAGAAAAACGAGATCTTATACAGTTGGAATTTCTTCTTACAGCTTCGTCACGAATGATTGTTTATCAACTTTATCGCATAGCTAAATATGAATTGATATGACAATCGTTGAACTTGCGATATAAATTCCCCCAAATGTTTCTGATATGAAAGCAAATATTAATTTATACTGATGATAATTGTTACACAGAGAAAAAATCTTGAGATCAAGAAATTGAAGCATTAATTCAAGTCAAAACTGATTGATTTTGCTTCAAGAATTTTCTCTTAAATTAAGAGTTTTCACTTCATTCTTCTTAGAGGTTTGAGTGAAAAAACGCAAACACAAATCACTTTTTAAAGTCAACTCAATTGTTCTCAATTGTTGGGAGAAATTCCTCAATTTTCCTTTATTCCTCAACCTGTGTTACTTTCAAGGGGGAGATATTATACACTGAAAAAGCAGTGTTTCAACATCAAAATGAGTGTAAGAAAGAGTTGAAGGAGTCTAAAAAGGGATGGAAAACGCCTTTAAAGGCGTTCAGAAGTGTCTGAAGTGATTCTGCTAAGAATCTGTGGAAGTGTCAAGAAGTTGTGTACAGATTGAAGGCATATTATCTCCCCTTTGGTCACTTTTACAAATGAATTCTTAACTCAATCCTTCGCAGACTCCTTCCCGGATGGCTGACACCAATTCTGCCCTTCTCACCGACGCTCTGGATTGCGTGCTTGGCGTCGCTTCTCTTGGGAATCATCGGCTTGCAAACGATAGCCAAATACCACAAATCCTCGGCGGTGCATCAATCAGATGAGCGCCGGAGTTTTGTCAACTCCGTGCTGACCGTCATGGCGATTTATGTGCTGCAACCGATAGAATTCATGTGAGTTGCAGCGGAAAAAAAGCCCTCGAATTGCCACTAATATAACTTATTGGCGCAGCGACAGGAGATTTATCGAACGCACAGTCATTGGCTGCATTTTGGTCACTGGCTGGTTGATTGGGAACATCTATGCCAGCGGCTTGGCCAGTGTCATGACCATTCCGCGCTTCGTGGCGCCCATTGACACGCCGGAGGATTTGGCGGCGAGCGGCATGGAGTGGTCAGCCACGCACGATGCCTGGATCTTCTCCATCCAGTCGGCGACGGAGCCTTTGCTGGTGACGCTGGTGAAGAACTTCCGCATCCGCAGCCACGAGCAGCTGCGCAGTCACTCGCTGCGGAGCGACATCGGCTTCTCCATCGAGCGCCTGCAGTACGGCCACTTCGCCATCGGCGACTACATCCAGGAGGACATCCTGGACGACTACCAGATCATGGTGCAGGACATCTACTGGGAGTACTGCGTCGTGATGAGCTACAAGACGTGGTCTCTCCTGCCCATGTTCGATGATCTGGTGCTGCACGTCGCGGAGTCCGGCATCCAGAAGTACTGGGAGTTGCTGGTGGCGCAGCGCCACCAGAACATTCAAGTGCAGCTCGGCGTGGCGCAGTCCAGACACCACGACAGCCTGGGCCCGGAGCCACTCAAGCCCACGCATCTGTTCGGGCTCTTCGCCGTCTGGGGCCTCGGAATGATGCTCGCGACGGCGGTTTTCCTCGCGGAAACCTGTTGGCGCTTCAAGACACAGTGAACTTAAACTTAGAGGGATTAAGGCATCACTCCTTCAAGAAAAGGTACTCTTTATTGTTCAAAACAACAGACACAAACAGCAAATAAAGGCCATCAGAACATTGTACATCTTAAGACTGGTGCTTGAGGATGGGAAACTCCTGTCGTCGTAGTTTTCCTCCCTGAACTCGCCGCCCAGATCGTCAAAGCCTGGCGTTGTGGTGAGACTGGCCAGGACGACTGTGGATCTTGTCATAGTGTAGTCCGAACCGGGCATTGTCATGACGCAATCGACTGGCGTTGGCGAGGAAAGCTTCGCTCTGGAGACTTTTCCAACAACGGAAACATCGTACAATCCTTCGTCGTTCCGCTTAACGTTGCCGAAGATTCTCCTGATGGTTTCACCTGGTCAGATTACATGAGATAATGTGGAGAATGAGTGAAATTCTAAGCCTCCTTTTATGTATGGAAACTACTTTTGGTAACATTTCTTGGCTTGAGAATCTTCTAAGAATGACTTGGAATAAAGCGAAGAGAGCTCAAATTCTCACCGTTTCTGAACTGCAGCGACAGCTGGGGCTCCGGATACGCGTCATCGGCCTCGCAAGTCACTTCCACCTCCTCTTCGCCGCTCGATTCCGCCTCCTTCTTCTCCCTGACCGTCAGCGCGGCCGGCGGCACGACGATCTGCAGCATGGCGGACTTGATGGCGCGCGACTGGAACGTGTCCACGATGCACGTGTACTCGCCGGTCATGTTCCACGTGGGCGACACCACCATCAGCGCCCGGTGCTCGGCCTGCGGTCCGCCGGCGGTGAGGAACTTCTCGTCCAGCCGGTTGCGCATCACGTTGAGCGGATACGGCCGCGAGCCGGGGATCCACTGGTAGATCGCCTGCTCGTTCAGCAGCCACTTCACCACCAGCTTCGTCTCCTCGGGCGCCAAATCGTACACGCAGTCCAGCAGCAACGGATCGCCGTCGACCACATGCGTCGCCGGCACGCGCAGCTCGCTGATTCGCACCGCCGCGGCTGCAAGACAAAGCGCCAACGACGCATTATACTTTCACCCTTTCGAAATGGGTGAAAAAAAAGGATCTTTTCGGCTTCTTGTGGCTCAGCAAGAGCCACAAGAAAGCAACAAGAAACCCAATATTAGTCCACGAAAATTGCCCCTTTCCCATGAAAAATGCACACTATTTTTCACCCATTTCAGTGGGGTGAATAAGCGAATGGCGAATGGTGTTTTTGAGGCCAGCGTCTGGTTTATTTCCGGCTCGCAATGATCTCACGCGCATTGCGTAAGCGCGAGTTTTGGCGGGAACATTGCGACAGCGCGCGAGTTTGACAAATGGACGCCAAATGATGAAGATATGATGAGAGAGAAAAATGATTTCAATGACAGTCTTGTGGGCATTTTCCAAACAAACCCACAAAATGAGGAATTCACCGAGTTGATATGGAGGAATTTTGGGTGATTTTAGGGACGGAAATAACTTTGAGAATATTAGAGATTTTAGGAATTTCACAGCATCACTTATATAGACGATAAATCAACGCCGAAGGGCATTCATTCGGCAATCTTTTACCCACGTGAATGCACTCACAAGTCTATAGTTGAATTGATCACTTAAAGTGACAATTTTTAATCTTCATATGTTTTAAGTTCAAAAACTGTGTTAAGATCGCACATAATAATAAAATTAGACGTGTTTATAACATACTAAAACATTTTTGATAAGTTTAACGTGAAATCTACTCAAGCAATTTGATTAATTTCTATATAAATTATCATTGAGATCTCTGAGAACGTTAGATTTTAAGTAATAAGAAATGAAAACTTCACGAATTACATCTTTTTCTCTGTTTAAAGACTATTTTTAACTTGTTTTTTAGAGTAAAAATCGAAATGATAAGGAAACATTAAAATCTGGATATTTTATCAAATCGATATTCTAGCAAATTTATTGCAAAACAAGGCTCGAAATTAACTCTTTTCTTTGAATTTCAAGTATCGCAACAAACATTTTCCATCATTCTTCATGCGATCGGAAAGCGCGCAGTCAAGAAGTGATAATGACGCGCCCCTCGACGTGCTTAGCTGAAGATCTAAGAAGATCTCTTGCTTGTATTGCCAAATGTCCAAATCCTCGGCGTCTTTCGCAACGCCGCCAATGTTTATATCGACCGAAAAGAGCCCTTTGGAAGCCACAACAGCCGGCCGAAGAGTAAATATCTTCTGGATAACTTCACAAAATGTATATTTCAAGTCCATCAAACTCCATTATATTTACACAGCATTCTCTCTGACACATATTTGAGAAGATTTTAACGACGGCATCGCGCTTTATCTGCAACATTTGATGCCAACACTTGACTACAAACTTTGGTTTGCGTATATTTTTAGCTAAGACAATTTCACTTTTACCACGCAAATTTTGCCAAAAAGTCTCCCTCCTTTCGCCACACACAACATAAATTGACTCAGAGCAAATTCAATTTCAGCCAAAGGCACGCTTTTGTCTATCTTTACCTGCGGCCACAAGTAGAAATGCAAAGAAAGTGGTGAGAATTCTATCCATTTCGGCGGGAAGATCACAAACTTTCACCTCTCACACGACCTGTGGTGTCACTGAAGGTGAACGCGCGCACTGACTGTCCCTTCTTCTCTGCGCCACTCACCACAGAGATCACAAGATCGGCCGCTCAAAAATAGATCAAGTTTAGCAGATGCTTTTGGGTCATCTGCGACGCTATTAATAGATCGCCTCCTTCACTTCATCTGCACACGTCCGATCGCTCGCGACGCTCGCCATCTACTGCCGCACGCGCTGCACCGCCAGCACGCTGATCACGGCCGCCAGCGAGATCAACGCATAGCGCCAGCGCGAGTCGCTCACGCGCTTCCTGCGCACGGCCTCGTGATCGATGTGCAGGATCGGCCGCGGGTTGAAAGACTGCACCTGCAAAGCACAGAGCGTTAGTCGACTTCTTTGCGCAATGTTCAAGGCAAGCAAAAGTGTAAATATTCGCTAAACCACGCCCCTTTCGATGCTCCGCCCATAGAAAAAGGTGCTTGTGAAGCAAACACACAAAACTTGCTTTAGTCTGTCATTTAAATTACTTCTACGGGTTATTAAGTGAATTCCCAACAGATTTAGTTCAAAATTCCAAAGAATTTTGCACAAATCCAAAGATCCTCAGGTGTTTAGAGACCTCTTAACATCCCACAAGAGTCTAAGATCAGTAAATTTGTTATTCTAGAGATCCTAGATAGGGAACTTACGTAAGACACTCTGTCCTTCAGGCTGGCAGTGGCCTCGATCAGCTGCTGCAGTGCGTAGCGGCAGCTGGCCACCTTCTGCTCCGCCGGCGGCTGCAGCTGCATGGCCATGGCGTTGCGGATGTGCGCACAGGTCGCCTGCAGCACAACGAGGTGCTTGAGATTCGATGCCGCGATCCGGAACACGTCCAGCATGTCAATTTTCTCGTGCTTGTCGAAGCGCGGCACGCTCTGCTTGGCCCACTGGCGCTGGTGGAAGAGGAACAGGCCGTGCAGGAGCTTCTTGCGCAGATAGGGCAGCCGCACACCCCACGCCGTCAGCGCCGCGTCGTCGGCGGCCAGGAACTGCTCCAGGCTGACGCGCTTGAGTGCGAACAGCGGCAGCAGTTGCTCGCAGTCCATGCCGAAGAGGACGGTCTTGAGGTCGGGGAAGTATGCTGGCACATCGGAGTTGCCAAGGCTGGGCACGACGTCTTCCATGCGCGAGTAGCTGAGGAAGCTCGTGGGAATGTCGATGGTGCCGGGGCCGCGCGGAATCAACTCAGCGATCTCCGCGTGGCCGCAGTACTCGGCCAGGCGCTTCGGGGTGAAGCCCTTGAAATCCACCACGTCCTTGCACACGCCGTGGCGCAGCAATAGCGCCACGGCGTCGCGCCGGCCCTCCTCGATGGCGTGAAAGAGCGCCGTGCGGCCGTTGCTGTCGATCGCCTCAGGATCGCACCGGCTGAGCAGCATCTCGGCCAGCGCCACGTTCCCGCGGCGGCAGGCGTACATCAGCGGCGTGATACCATATCTGTCGGACGCCTGGGCGGAGGCGCCGCGCGCCAGCAGAAGCTCCACAATCTTCCGGACGGCCTCATGGTCGCTGGACAAGGCGTCACAGGCCAGCAGGATGGGTGTCATGGACTCAAAGTCCACACTCACGTCCGCCTCCTTCTCCTCCACCAGCAGTTGCACACACGCGAGGCTGCCCGCGTGCGCGGCGTGCAGCAGAGCCGTCCAGTTGCTCCTGGGCAGCGTCTCGTTCACGCCTAATGCAAACTCCTCGTTCACGAGGCTCTGGCGTACTGTCTCCACATCGTCATCCCGCAGGGCAGTCTCCAGGGCGTCCAGGAACACATCTCGTGCACTCCTCACCGGAATCTCCCGCGGCGTAGTCGACTGCAAGGCAAACAGTGCGTGAGTGCGTGAGCACGGAAGCGCAGCAATTGCGGGCTACTCACCTTCGGGAAAGCAAAATCAAACTCGGAATCTGAGTCTGTGTAATCTGACTCCGCGTACGGTTGATAAGCCATCGTCCGCGAGGCTGTGCTTTGCCAGAGAACAGCCGGAAAAGTGTGCAGCAAATTCACCAAAATGCGCGGTTAGAATGCTGACGAAGTGACATTTGCAAACAGTGCTGCCAACTGTGATTTTACACTGCAAAAAATGAGACGCGCACAAAAATGACGCAAATTCATCTGATTACCGGCTGAGGCGCTAATATAAATTAGGAATCTTAAATCTCAAACAGATGATTTACTGTGCTAAGGAAAAACTAGGGAAAACCATAAACGCCAGAATATATTTATTAACGATCTCTAAATAATGTTTAACACAAGAATTTATCATTTTTCTGCACAAAATGTGTCATGAAAAAAAAACGCTCTGACAAATGCTTTATTGCGTCAATTGAAGCTAAAATTTTATAAAATGTTGTAAAGAAATTCCCATTACTACGAACAATTTGGTATGAGAAGCCGTTGTAAAACTTTGCTCTACGGTTTCATCTCCCGGGCCATTGGCCATCCACTGAGGAGGTGGTCATGGTGGTCGTAGTGGTTGTAGTTGTAGATGTCGTTGTACTTGGGGTCGTGGTCAGTGGTGTTGTAGTTGAGGTCGTAGGTTGTGTCGTGGTCGTAATCGTCTTCTTATTCTTCTTGCGGATGCGCTTGCATCGACTGTTGACACAGGCTAAGTCAATGCGGCATGGCGTCTTGAAGTCACAGCTGCCACCTTAAGGAAAATGCGTCAATACAGTCTATTTGCTCCAAACGAAGCAAGCTAGTTGGTCCTACCAACAGTCTGCTTAGCAACACAGTAACCAAACTTGCAAAACCGATTGAAATGAGCACAACCAATGAAGAACGGAATGCATTCTAAATGCTTTGATTCCTTCACGACGTCTGGAGGAGTCTCTTCAGATAACATCGAGGCAGCAAACAGGAGCAGCACAGCGAGGATCGGAAGCACTGAAGCCATTCTTTCTAACACGGCGCACAACACAATATTTCCATTCTTATTTGTTCCCATCTTTTATATAACTTCTATATCGCCATTACTTTCCTTTGCGCACTATTTATCTAAAAGAAATGTAAGAGACAACCTTACCTTGTGAAATTTATGCGGAGTTTCACACAAATAAATATAAATAGGAGCGCACGTGAAGATTTATTATTTGTTTTTAGTGATTAGAAGTGTTTCGCGTGCGTATTATCTGGTGAACTTGACTAATTTCTTGATGTTTATTCAATTTTCTTAACACTAGAAAGCGTTGGACACGAGCTGGACATAAATTCCTTTCGAACAGGGTGGCCAGTCTGACTAATTCATAACGCTAACGCGAAAAATAAGATTGTCATTGCTAATAATATTCTATTAGTTGAGACTAGATCAAGTAGAGAAAAGTCATGTTAATTCGTGGTAAATCACTCGTTTATATAAATTCTTCTGATTATAAAATCTTTATGCATTGGTCAGACTGACCAACTCGTTAGAGTGAAATGCATGCTCAGCGCTTTCTAGTGTTAACAGTCCAACGCAGCTTTGCAGAAATGAATTTCAGCAAGGAATATAGCATATCCGGTATTTCCAAAATGCATCTGTATGTCACATACGATGCAGATGGTTTTTCTCAGTGTTCTTGTACTAATTTCGCACCCTTCTGAGCTGCCTATGTCTTGGCTAAGTCGAGCTCCACGCTCCAAACACCCCTCGAAAGCTGGCGATTCTCTCTCGGTCTCTCAGGGAGGAAAGCCGCTCTCACTCATTGAGACTTTTCCAGGCTCACGCCTCGTCAGTTCTCCGAGTCATGGCAGTCCGTTCGCAAGCACATCTCGACTGCAGTCCGGCGCCCGTCTGCGCTCCGCAGTGAACAAGTGGGCCTGAAGATCAGCGGCAATCCGCGGCGTGGGCGATTCGCGAGTGTGCCAATGGCCAGCGAAGCGCGGCGCCCCCGCGAGTGGTGAGTGTCAGCACATACGGACGCCCTTCCCAGGCGGCGAGTGTGGCCAAGAGTGAGTGGGAGGGGCATGGAGAGGCCGAGGAAGTAGGTCAGCAATGAAATCTCCCAGTTATTGGGATGTCAGTTCGTCTGGAAGAGACTAAGTGAGCCTCCTTTTGCAGCCACTCTCGATTCCCTTTCGATTTTCAACGCTATGGGCAAACAGTGAGGGGCGCACAAGTGGCAATTTTCAGTGATTGTGATCCTTTTGGGCTCCAATTGTTACTCAAATCTTCACAAAATTCATGCTCAAGTTGAGATTTGTCGCAAAATGAAGAGGCCGTAAAAGGTATTCGAGTGACTCCAAAGCGTTCTTAACAAGGTTTTTAAGTTAAAAGATCTTTGAATTATCTCATATAACCTCAAAAATATATTTTCTAAGTTACAGAATTCATAAGATAATTTTTCGTAACACAAAATTGGATTTGGGTTTGTCAAAAACATTTTTCAAACTCGTTCAATCAATATTTTTTGTACTTTTATAGGCTTTTTAATCCCAAAGAGAGAAAAATAAGTCAAGACTTTAAAAACTTGTAGACTATAACAAAGTAATTTTTATTGTTTTATTTGAAAATGCTTTATTTTAAAACATTAAATCAATCATTAGTTGAATTTCTCCACCTTTTGCATAGCAATGCATTATAATTTTTTAGTAATTTTCTGTAGTTTTTAGGATAAAATCTACCATGTTTTTAATCTTCTATACGTTACGAAATTCTATATTATGGACTTAACCGAAAGATTTAGCCTCAGCCCTTTTACCAAAGTGACAACAAACAAATTTTCGTGAATTAAATATCTGTTTCGGATATAAGAAGACGTCAATATAAGAATTTTCCAGCAAAAAACCTCATTCTAGTTTCTCATTTGCCCACTTGTGCGCCCCTCGGCTGGCATTCCCTCTAATCTTAGGCGCCGCGCAAGGTAAGACAAACACGAGCTTCTCTTTGATGGCGTAAATTGGCACTGATTGCAAAGACAATATTTTTGCATGGATTTATTTTCGCGCGCGCGACAATTCACATCATCCGGAAGCTGTGGATTTTGCCATGAATCAGCCTGGCTTCCGGCGGCGCGCGTGCGCCGCCCCACGAACTCTCGGGGGAGGGGGCGCAAGGTCGGCAATGTCGCGGTTGCACTCGTGAATCTGTGCGGATAAACACACCGCGCGTCCCTGATCAAATTCTCCGCTTTGATCCCGCCAGCAAAGGTGCCTCTTGGCATTGAGAGTTGCAAGGTTTTATCACTGATAAGCCTTGAGAACTCATCCAGATGACCCGGCAATCTGATTTGACTACTGTTTCATATCAGAGCTTTTGATATTGAATCTCATGTTGACTCTGGCAGCAATTTGAGAGAAACTTTGGTTCCTGGAAATTCAAATGAATTTCACATTTCATCTCCTGAAGCTGCAATTGTCCCTCTGTCGTTGCCCGGGAAACACTGCGGGAAACCATAATCCTGGCAAACATCACCTTGAGTGCAATTATAATGTTCCAGGGTTGCAGAAAAATTCAAAAACATTTCTAAAATAATGCTGAATGTGCTGAATTGATTCTGTGGATTTCATAGCGATGTTGTCGCATCGCAGGACAGCAATGAATGGACCTTTTGAAGTGCATTCCACGGGGAAAAGCCTCTTAAAAGCCACAAACACAGTTATTGCCATGCAACGTTGTGCATATTCAATATGAGCTCCTTTTGTTGTGCGACGCGCATTATGTGCTTTTATTAGTTAAATACACACAGCGTGAAATCTGGGTCATGCAAGGAAGTCTCCATTTCCCAGCAAATGCTGTGCATTTGCCAAGGAGCAGTGTCTAATTATCCGTCTCGTTGACTAAACATTTCGCCCTAATTGAGTCTCATTCGCGTCATTCGCGTATTTGATCACGCACAGCGCTGAGCAGACATCTTTTGCCGTGTTGCCAAATATGAGATGGATGGAACGTCCGGGTGGATTGTTTGCACAATCCCACACTTTCGGTCATTTGCCGAGAGTTCGAGGAACGGCCCATAAATCTACCGAAAAAAGCTCGCACAGAGATTGAACGGGGAAACTTTGCGTTGGCGCGCCAAAGACACACTGTGCTAGTCGAGGTGTTTGAAGTTACTTTTTAACATGGAAATAATTAACAGAACTGCATTTTTGCAATGAAGATTTCTTTATTGGAAAAGCAATTACGAGAATTGCGCTTTTGCTCTTGATAAAATTCACGATTCTACAAAATGAGCGGTAAAATCAGAGCTAAAGTCAAACATAACCTCATTTTATCATACTTGGCAGCTGAAAATTTTGAATTGAAACGATTATAATTGAGATTTACTGAAAACACTCAGTTTCATATCTTCAGTATTAAATAAACACTGGAAATTTCAAAAAAGTATAAAATAATATCTGAAAATCTAGATAATTAAGATTTAAGTCAGATTTTGGTTAGTTTTTAGTCGGTTTTAAGTCAATAAAACTCAAATTAACTATAAAAAAAAATAAATATTACTGTTTCGAACCTAAATTATCATTTGAATTCTGTATTGAAATGATTAAAAATCATTGTGAAACGATTTGAGCTAAATTTACTGATTTAAGTGGTACTCAAAGTCCACAATTTCCTGGAATTTCACCACAAGGAAACTAAGAAATTTCCATTTTGTCTTTCCTGGGAAGTCAAACATCTGGATTTCCCCTATGTGTGGGCTCAGCATCCTCTTGTCCATTGATGTATTTCTGAGAATTTCGAGGTAAAACAGGAAGTTAAATGACCAGAAGCACTTTGAAGCAAGCCGAGAGCTTACAATGTCCGAAGTCCACACATTAATTCCAGAGATAAATGGTCGAGCAAACCCCAATAGAGGTCCTCAATATAGTGCACAGGACGAAATGCCACATAATCGCCAAGCGTTTGAGCCATGAAAAGGACTCACCATGAATATAAAGTGCTCACAGTTTGGCTATGAAATGAATATTCCCGTGTGGGAAAAGCAAGTGGAAATTCGAGTGGAAGTTTTAATTAATTTCAATTTAATTGCTAGCAAATTATCAGGCATATAAATTTCCACACTGACCTACTTTTGTGCCAATTCCACTTTCCCTTTCACCGGCAAAACTCACCCCCGCGAAGCAAGGGATGGAAAAAGAATGCTGTCAGAGATTAATCGTTAGACTTCTCCACATTGTTCTCGGCGAGTCACAACAATTCTCCACGACTTGAACTGTGTTGGCGCGCGATGAAAAATGCTAACAATAAAACTGCGTCACTGCGTCAATGATGTTAATATTATGGTGCACCTTTGCGGCCCTTCATTCGCCTTGTTTTCCCGTCGGGATGAATAGTAAACAAACAGCGCGAGAAAGTGCCGTGGACATTCTTTAAATTGACCCGGAGTTTCTCTTGAAGATTTTACGACTCGTATGATTTACTGTTGAGTCTTGATTTGGAGGAAAATATTGTGAGAAAAAAAGGAAAACATCGTCTGTGCTTTGCTTATTTATCTGAAGATGGAAATTCTATGGAATCATAAATCTGGGCGGGGCTATTGAATGGGCGGGAATTCCGCAATTCGCGGAAAATTCGCGCCGTTCCTTGATAATTATTCTCATGTTAAAATACATGTTATGGAGTTTCATCAAGTCTGTATTTTTCCATAATATAGGGCAATTTCAGCATAATTTCCTTCGCAAAATATCCCTTGGCCTTGTAAAGTATTTTCAAGCAATCAAGATCGCGCTATTCGGAATCTTTGGAGACAGGAAACAATAGAAAATCGTTCTAAGCTCGCACACAAACTCCCAAATAACACTTTAGGGCGTCAGAAATGTTATTAGGAGAATTTTCTCCCCGATTCTAGGCCTTGAAAAAAGGTTTCTAAAGGACTTTCAACACTTCTAAAAATAAAATAGAGATTCCTATTGAAAATTAATGTGCAGCCTTAGAGGTTGCAATCCTGAAAGAGAAATCTCCGGCTCAAATGAATCAATTTCCTCTTGGCCATCAGCTGCGATGTGTTAATCTGTCATCAGAGTGGAAGCGAATGGGTGGCCAAAGTCAATGCCAATATCGCACATTTGCTATAATTGAGACTCATGTGAAGTGAAATTGCATTTTCCTTTTGCAGGTTTCCTCAGCTACCATGCAATTCGAATGAGGATTCGCTTTCTTGCTGCTTTTCTCTATGCTGGTAATCAGGAGAAGAAGAAAAAACTGTCGAATGAACCAAAAGTGCTTCAGTGAGACTGAGAAAAGACTATTCAGCAATGCATCTTCAGCTCAATTAGCATCCAAGCATGAGAGAATTATGTGTTAAATATCACCCCTGTGGATGTAAATTGGCGTGGCATTCGTGCTTGTGTGATGAAAACGAGAATATCGAAAGTTTGGTGCTTGCGCGGGTGAAGATAGTTGAGAATAATGGGCGCGACGGAAGGGTAAAATTGGATAGGAATAAAGAGTTAACGCGAAAAGTAATTTATCCATTGGAATAGAGCTTTTTGCGCGTGTTTTTACGGTGCTCAAGTGGGCGGGAGATCAATTAATAATTTCGAAAGGTGCTACCATAGAAAAAAAAAACTCTATAAAGTCTTTTGTGGGAAAGGAGCAAATTATGGCGAAAACGTCGAGGAGGGAGAGCCAGAGGGAGGCAATGACAGATGTCGACTTGGACTGGGAGGTAAGTGAATTTTGTGTGCAACTCTGTCGCCGAGAAAACTATCAAAGGATCCAAAACCTTTTAGGAGCACGGAAAATTTCCCGCTGTGAGCTCGAAAGTGCCGCTGTCGAGTGCAGACGGAGGCAATGCAGATACATTTCCAGAACGCGGAAATTGGACGGGAAGATTCGATTTTCTCCTCTCACTCCTCGGTTACTCAGTGGGACTGGGAAATGTGTGGAGATTTCCCTACTTGGCCTACAATAACGGCGGCGGTGAGTATGCGCCTCATTCACCCACTTTTCCACCCACAAAAGCAACTTACAAGCCGTGGGAATTTCCCTCAATAATTGTCCTTAAATGTATCATTATGGGGCGGAAAGTTCAGGAGCTCCTTTAATTAATGTGTAATTCGATTTCTGCTCTTGTGTCTCAAGACATTTCACTGTGAACTCTCGCAATATTCGAAGAGAATTTCACTGAGAACTTTCAAACATAATGCAATTTGTACCATGAATATATCGAGGAAAAGTAGTCAAGAAATTATTATGTAAGATAAATTCACACATTCTTACGGTTGTGTATTACTCTAAAAGCCACACCCCCACAAATGCCCCGCCCATTCTGACAATCAATTGCAATGCAGAGCACATAGTTCGTCAGTTATCAGCTAGAATTTTTCTCAAATGCACAAAAATAGCACATTTCTGCATCATAAAAGCGAAACATTGCTACAAAAGCTCTCAGCATTCATTCCACCTCGTCAGATGATTTTGCCTACAAAATGACGTCTCAATTCAAGTACATCGCAACCATTTTACTTGAAATTGCAAATTTTCATAATCCGTTGAGCAGATAAGGGGCACTTCTGGATGCCAAATTGAAGCACATCCCATTTGCATGACAAAGGCAATCGTATTGATTTCCGTGTGCGAATCTTCATTCTCTCACGAAAGCTATGCTTGTGCGAGTCTCGGAGGATGTGATGGAATTTTATCAACTGATATATTTTCCACCTTCTCGCACTTCATACATTTTTTATGTTACACATTCTAAGCTATAATCCACCCAATGTGAGTCACACCACATCAATCACATCCCGCATCACGACGCCCATGAGCAGTGAAAATCGCAGGGAAACTGAGGGAATGGAATGTGGTGTAATTTCCATTGAGTGTAAAATGCTGAAAGGAGTGCCAAGTGTGTGTGTGTCTTTCATGAGATTACGAGAATTGATTCACAATATATCATGTTTAATTCACACACTCAAGAGCTGTCGACCATCTTCACTTGCCGCTTTTGGCATTTTAAGCTCGAGATTAGCGCTCCTCTTGTGTAATTAAAATCATAAGAACCTCCAATTAGGGGATGTTTAACCCTCTCCGCACACCACATCAACCCTTTTTCCATTGACATCCGTGGCGAATCCACCACGTGCGTGCTGACACTAAAATATGCGCTCCAGTGAGAGCATTTTGCTGTAACGACGACAGAAAATTGGAGTGGAAAATTTTTATGCGCACCAATTCTCGAGAAAAACTCCAGAGACTCTTCACCAAGTTGTTAGGTAACTTTTAGTGCGATTATTTTTAGCCTTATGCAGAAGGAAATCCAGAGTGTCTGCAATATTGTTGGCAATTTGATCTTAATGGGCGGAGCATTTGAGTGGGCGGAGTTTTTGCTTTATCCCACAAAGTAGTGTGTAGAGAAACACATGGATTTTCCCTGGAACTTCCTAACCTTGTTAGAGGCAGTCTTGCGTTGTGCATTTCCCACGAGTTACATCGTTGTGTGGTTAAAGGCGCTGTAACTCGATAAAGTTTCACCCTGTGTGGCGAAACTTTTTGATTTATCACTTTGGCCAGAGGCGTGATTTAATCGATCAGAGCACAGTTGTAAGTAAATTACGCTATGGCCAAGGCTGAGGGAATTTGAGGGGTTTTCCATGCCACCCGATATGGCTCCGATAATTGAACATGCATTGCAAATTCGAATTTACACCTGAACCGCAGGCGCTTTCCTCATCCCCTTCTGCATAATGCTGGTCATCGCGGGTCTACCGCTGATGTTCATGGAGCTGTCCTTCGGTCAGTTTGCCGCTCTGGGGCCGGTGGCCATCTACAAGCGCTTCTGTCCACTCCTGGCCGGCCTGGGCAGTGGCATGATCATCGTGTCGTTTGTGGTGATGCTGTACTACAACGTCATCATCTGCTGGACCATCTTCTACATGACGGCCTCCGTCACGACCAGCAACCTTCCGTGGCAGAGCTGCGAGCCCGAGTGGAGCACAAAGTGTGAGTGCATTTTCGCCTTGTCTCTCAATTCAATGAAACCCCCGCACTCAGTATTTCTCCATCTAAACTTGATCAAAAGAGAACTCGAGTCGAGTCTATCGTATGGGAAATTGTTTCCCTTTCATGCCATTACTTATGCATGCCGTTCTTGCAAATTAAATTCTCACTGCGACACTGCAGTGTGTCCTTCATCAATTCACCACTGCAGATGACAGCAAAATTCTCCGCAGATGTATACTTTCTCTCCAGCCAGAATAATGCACAAATGGATGTATTTATTATGCCATTTCAGATTGCTTTTCATACGCAGAAGCAGACTTCTGTGAGGCCATTAATGGAACATACTATTTGAGGAATTGCTACAATAATTCCATGCTGAAGGAGCTAAATATCACCAAATTGGCCCTTGAGATGCCCAAAAGACCACCAGCTGAAGAGTATTTCACGTAAGCACTGCTTAAATTGCAGATTTTGTCAGATTTTCTCTAATTTCAATCATATTTAGCACAAATGTAAGGTTATTTTAATCTTTGGAAGCCACGCCCACGCTAACGCCCCGCCCATTCTGCTTAAGACGTTTAATGCATACACATAATAACATTCTGCTTAAACTTTTGTCATATTTCATGTATTTTTCCATCATGTTCGCAAATGACGTTCAGAAATTTGACTTTCAACACAGAGAAAACAGTGAAATTTCTCACTCCATCACTCAAAAAACACTCCATCATCAGGAATTTAATTGAAAATTCACTGAACGTGTTAATTTATGTCGTAAAATGTTCAGTAAGGGATTCTCCATCCCCTCAGAAACTACGTGCTGGGACTGTCTAATGGCATCGAGGAGACTGGAAACATCAAGCTCAGTCTCGCTCTGGCCCTCCTTGTCGCCTGGATCATTGTCTTTCTCTGCCTCTGCAAAGGTGTTCAATCATCGGGAAAGGTGATTAAGGGTTAGGGTGTGTTTTTCACCCCCACTAAATGCCGAATCGCCTCGCAGGTCGTCTACTTCACTGCACTCTTTCCGTACATCGTGCTCGTGATACTGTTCGTGCGCGGCGTAACTTTGCCAGGTGCGATGGAAGGCATCAAGTTCTACCTGACGCCAGACTGGAATCAGCTCTGGAATGCTCAGGTGTGGGGCGATGCGGCGGTGCAGATCTTCTTCGCCCTGAGTCCGTCCTGGGGCGGCCTAATAACTCTGTCGTCCTACAACAAGTACAACAACAACTGCTACAAGTATGAAACATAGTGTTCAAAATCCCAATTGAGATCCTAACTTTATTGACTTCATGCAGAGACTCGATGATTGTGGCGTTTTCCAACATTACAACATCTTTCTTCGCTGGTCTCGTCATATTCTCCATCATCGGCTTCCTGGCGCACGAGCTGCACGTGGACGTGAAGGATGTGGTCGATCAAGGAGCGGGTCTGGCATTTATCGTCTATCCCGAAGTCGTGACACGTCTTCCATTGTCTCCGGTCTGGTCTATTCTCTTCTTCGTCATGCTTCTCACTCTAGGATTGGATTCTCAGGTTTGAACTTATTTTCAAACACTAAAACCGATAATAACTGAACTTGTGCTTCCAGTTCGCTTTGATGGAAACTGTGACAACTGCGATTCTCGATAAGTTTCCCAAATTGCGTAAATACAAAATCTGGGTGGTTCTCTCTGTGTCCATCGTCGGATACTTGGGCGGTCTAGGATTTACTACAAATGTAAGGTGGTAAGTTTGAGTAAGCTAGGTGTGCAATTAACTCGTCTTTGCCTCTAGAGTGGCATGTTTTGGCTTCAATTGATGGACAAGTACGCTGCCAACTGGTCAGTTCTCCTGATTGCCATCACAGAGTGCATTCTCATCGCCTGGATGTATGGTTCGGAGCGCTTCCTGGAAGATATCCAGAGCATGATCGGGCAGCGATCGAGAATATGGGTTCTCTTCTGGTCCTGGATGTGGAAGGCTGTAACACCACTTGCTCTCTTGGTAAGTATCCTAGTCTACTTCCTTGACTGTTTGCTGACTACTGTCATGCTCTTGTCGCTCAGTTCATCCTGTTCTTCAATTGGGTTGAGTACAAACCCGCTTCTTACGGACACTACGTCTATCCTCTGTGGGCAGACGCAATTGGATGGACCATTGGACTGCTTCCCATTCTTGTGATCATCTTAAATGCCATTCAACAGATTATCCTAGCTCCACACAATCTCACGTTTATTAAGGTAAGTCAGGCAATTTATTATGTGCTTCACTGTCTTGAGATGTGTTCTCTCCCGAAGAAAATCAAGTTGCTGATCAAACCCACGCCTGAATGGGGCCCAGCTGGGAATCCGTGTTTCGTCAGCCATTCGCGGAGATATGAGAACGTGGCCAACACTGTGGTGCTTGTGAACGGAATGCCAATTGACGATGACGGCAATGAGAATGAGGACGAGGGACTGCAGCTCTGAGAACGAGCTCTGGTCCCATCGTCCTCCGTGGCAAGGAATGACGATGACGACCAGAGAGATGTGACACTCGTGGAGAAGTGCGAACCCGTGACTGTGGGCATCCTGAAGGGTGTGCGCGCCACTGGCGTGAGTCCGAGCAAGCAGCCACTCATCCAGAGTGATCAGGAGACAGATTGCAGCCCACCAAATCGCCCGCGCGCGCACTTCAAGAAGAACTAATGAGTGTCACAGCGTCTAGATAGGCTTAAATATTGTGCAATCAAAACACGATTTGACACGTGAGTATAGCGACTCAAACTTACTATCCCAATTCTGAACCGCATTAAAGAAAAAAAAAAACTTCAACCTGACCGGAATAGAATGTTCCTCCTTATAGAAAAAATTGAATTGGCATCGCGGTATTTTTTCGGTGTATTTTTGAATGTCTATGACTGGGATAGTATTTTTCCCAAGTTTTCCTTTCTAGATGAAATGACATGGTCTTATATTTTGAAATGTGTACCTTAAATATTAACATATACAAGAGAATATATACATATATATATTTACTAATGAGTGTTTTGTCCAGATGTACCTTAAGTTTAAGGCAAAGAGTCATTCAGCAGCTCCAATTGTGTGTTATGATGGAGCTAAGAATAGCAACCCAGTATTAATATCCTCCTCACTGAAAGGATGATTTTAGAGTCAATGTTAGAGAATTGTACCAATTGTGAACCAACATATAATAGCCTACATATAACTATACACACAACCTTAACTTTGGATTATCACAGAAAAGAATCAACCAAACTGCAAAAACTTAAGTGTACCTGCGTGAGTAGTTTTTCAGAAAGAAGCAAACATACAGTTTGCTTTCCAATGGCGAATGCGCGTGATGGCGAAAGGTTCGATGCTTTCAGTATTAGTGAAACGTTTAACAGACAATTGGCAAATAAGGGAGGACAAATTAGAATCTTATGACGTGAATAGTCAATGTTAACAAGTTTAGCGGAAATTTGATTGTACAGAGAGAGAAAAAGAAACGCAAAATTTCTATAATTTCGAAATTATTCAAATTGAAGAGAACATTATATATAAATATTGTTGAAATTCGGCAACAGGGCGCATGTAAATTGGAATATCAATTTAGTAGGATTTTTGTCAGAGTTGTTCAAGGCACAACCAGTCAATTGATATCAAGAAATTATCATAACAGTGAGTTGAAAACATATTGAATGAAATTTATCATATTTCTTTCTACAATTTTATCTAATTATTCAATGCCAAACTGTACAGTGTATTTTTTGATATTCGAATTTGTATTTTGAAGAAGATATTTTTTCACAAAAAAAAAACATATTTTATAGAAAACTTTTCCTGAAATTCACTGAATGATGAAAAATGATGAAAAATATCATTTATGAGGTGAGAAGTATATTTTATTAGACAATAAAAGGAATTTGAAAGAGAGAAAAAAAGAGTATTTTGGAAAGTGTGTTAGAAGAAAAGAGAGAGAGAGAGAAAAAAATATTAGCCAAATTATATGTTTGGAAAATTTGTTGAAATTAGATGAGCTTAATAGATTTTATGGAGACTTGGTGTGAAGAAAATAGCGTTTAAAGAACCATTGAGAACTGACTTATTTTTTAATGCAGCCAAAGTGTGACTGCAAATCGTCCAAGAATCGGCGAGAATAAACCCTTTGAACAATATGTGAGTAAATTTTATCCAATAACTATTGAGCAGATGAATGTTCTAATCCTAAGATAACTCTCAGAAATCCCATAAAGAATGTCTATAGTTGTTCCATAAACAGCAAAAAAAAAAAGTGTATTTATCGTGTCCAGAGATGACAAAAAACTGTGTAATATATATAGTAAATAAAGAGTATGAAAGAATGAGTGGATTTTTTGCATAACTTGCCGAGGAATTCCTTAATGGACTTCTCTTCGCATGAGTGAATTTTCCCATCTTTCCCCAACTCTCAGAAGCGCGTTGGCCAAAAGAGTATTTCTGTGCTAAAAGTATTGACACAAACCTTCGCATTGAGCAAAGAAAAACAGCTTTTAAAAGCTCTCAAGCGACACTGCTAAAAATAGAAGAGAGATTTCCACTGGCATTCATTAGTTTACTTGAAGCTTTTGCAACTTAAGCATGAACTGCTGAATCTCTAGTCCTGCTTAAGGACTTCAAGTTGTAATTGAAGAAGAATTAGTGATCATGCGGATAAAATGCGGCTGTTTTGAGGCGCAAAAGTGGATCATTCGCATCCTCTCGAGCCAGACAGCGAATCAGACAGTGAAGAAAAGCTCATAATGTATATTTCTCGCGGTGCTGGACTTTGATTGACAAAGTGGCGCGTGTTGTGGCAACACAAGCAAGGTTGAGCCGCGACTGACGAAGAGATAAAAGGAATGACAAAAGGCTGCGCGATGGGCAGAAGGAAGCACTCACGCGAGATTAAAGCGCGAAGAGGAAGAAGATTGGCAATTCGTGACCTTGCTGCTCTTCCGCAAACCCAAACTGATTGATCTCCATTTGATTTGTCTGGCTGCAGATTAGCTACTCAAGTGAATTACCAATAATCATCATAATTACTTTTGTGCGATGGTAAAGATAGCAATCAACAAAGTGTTGTGCCGCCAGAGTCAATAAGGCTATCGCCAAAGTGTGTCTTCCTCCAGCAGAAACTAGACTTTTGCCCGAAAATACTGCGATCAGCCACACAAATCACGCCAAATCACCACAATTTTCGATAATGTGCCGCCTAATAGGGTGTCATTAGGACGTATTATTGCTCTCAGGAAAAAAAAGCCAAAGAATGTCTTTAAGGCGATTTGTCCTATCGATTGTAAAAAAAAGAGAGAGAAAACATTGCGAAATTGCCTCTGAATGTGAAAATTATTCAAATGAGAGCCAATTAATGCTCATTATTCCGCTTCACTTGCTCCAAAGTCTATCGCTAACTCGCTTTGCCAGCCCTCTTGGGTTACATAAGGAAACAACAAGTCCCGAAATTGGAGCTGAAACACTTCAGCTTCTCGCTATTAATCCTAAGAAAATTCTTATTGAAAATTCCTATAGAAAAATCATATTGCTATACAAGAACTGGTATTAAAAGTTTTACTTCTTTAGGCTTTTATAGGCTTTTCTTCTATAGGCTTTTAGGTCTTCGTCGACCCTAGAAATTATCATTTGAAATACGAATTCAGCGCTTAAAGAGATTCCAAAGTTTTAATTTCATTTATCTCTTGCGTCTAAGATATATTTCGAGGCGCTTGAGTTAGAAATATCTAGTATTAGCCTGTGACGCCATCACAAAAGCCGCCATATTGGATCGACCCACACTATCTCTATTTAGGTAGCAAAACAGTGAATTTTGATTGAATTTTAGCTACGTGAAATCCCCAAATTGCCCACAAAAGCTCAGTTTTCCAAAAGCCAATCAATGCTTTAGAGATTTTACAATATTATACTGACTGCGTGCGCTTTATTCAGCTCTTCAGCTTCCCATCGCGAGCATCAATGAATGGGCTTTGATCTGGCAGAGTTTGTTTGGGCAAATGGCAAGAAAGCGGCTCGATGGCTTACTTTCGAAATGGCCAGCAAGAGATCTCTTTGTCTCACTTTGTTGGCCCAACATCGTCAAGGTCGTTCGGATGGCGTCCCAGAAAGTGGGATGCCGAAAACGGTCTGACTGAATGTCATAATACCGCGCGCGCTAAGAGCTAATGAAACCGCCGAGCCCATCACTTTTACTTTTTTCTGCCGTACAGAAAGAGCCCACCAACAATGGGCGAAGAAAGTCATGTTCTCAGGTTCGGCGGAAGTGGACTTTTGCGCAGTGCATCTAAGCGCATTGGATGTGATTATGAAATGGGGTAATTACGATGAAATTATGAGCTGAATAACCCATTTCTCCAATTTCTTCTTCGCGCGCGCGCTTTTTTTTCTTCTTCTTCTTGTTCCTAGACACGAAAATCATGCGCGCGCGCGCATTCTTTTCTTTGTTATGTGCGGGCGCGATAATGAGACTCCTCGTGAGCCATTAAACTTGCGCGCCAGCGAAACAGTCTTGAAGACAAATTGGAGTATCACAATTCCGCCTTTGGCGCGAAAATGAGGCATGATCGCTATATTTTTTCTCTACACTTTATCTAACACCAAGCAAGTGTGCAATTATACTTTGCATAACTCATTATTGTTTGGCTCCATAGTGCAGGAGGGAAATTTGAATGCATAATGTTATGGCATCGTCGTCATTTTCTTACCCATTCGGTGGTACTGGACAACATTGTGGCACAAAATTTCAGAATCGTTGCGAATTTGAATATTCAAATCCGCGACTCACCCATCGCGCTGAATGCCAAGAAGCCCCTATGCTTGGGTGTCTAATTTATGCTCAAAAGTATGATGAGCATCCCAAAGGCTATAAATCCAGCGCTGGCGATAGAGTTGTAACAAGAGATACATAATGTTACGTGACATTAAGCCCTGTGATTTTTCCACTGTATTGACATGAATATTCAAGAAATGAAGCCATATGTAAGAATATTGTTTTCCAATAAAACCCAAATAACATCATTTTGAGATAGACACAAGATGAATTAGCAACTGGAGGTCATTTCAATCTCACTTCCGCAACAAACTATTGTTTAACGCCGCGCAGAACTTGGAAACATCGCGCGATATCGAATGAAAAAGGCAAGAAGAAGTAAATCAATTATGCAATTATTCTTTTTGCCAGTCTGTTTTTGTTTTTCTTTTTTTCTTCTTCTTATTCAAGAGGGTGGAGATAAAGCTGTGCGAAATCAATTACACTCGGTGTAAATGCTAATGACGCTCTCACCTAATTATGATTATTTAAATGGATTTTAATAAATTGACTATTAAGTTTCGGAAAGGTTGCATCACGGCGCTTATTTAAAGGTACAGCGAGGAAATTATTACACTGGTCGGCATAATATGCATTATACAAGACGAAAAAATCCACTTAGCGTGCTTTATTGTGGTATTTTCCATGTCCGACCGAAAGTGTTGATCTATCGTGGGCGCGATCGCTTTCGCACTGGAGGATACTTTACCTGTCAGTTCTCTCGATGGCTCGCCGTGTGGCAACAATATTTGGACAAGAAGTCAATTTGGACAGTTGAAAGGAAGACGGTAATTGATTTTTTGGGGTCAGTTCAACAAACTCTAGTCCTAGCGCACTTCTTCTCATTTAGAATTTACAAAAACAGGCACTTTTCATAACTGTAAAAAGTGTTATTGACATTTGGAGTTAAAATTAAAAGAACTCGCGTGTTTTCTGACTAATTAATACGACTTGAAGTTCAAAAGAAAGCCTAATCGATCGTTGAAAGAGTACTGCATCGTAGAATATTTCAAATGAGGTCGGAAAGGGCGGGGCTTGTCCATGGGCGTGGCTTAGAGAAATTAATTATCCCTCGTTTGTCGTATAAACAAACAACCAAAGGCAAAAAATACCCCCAAAAAAACAATTGTAAAAATGTTTACCAACCTCCAAAGGGTTAAATCGAGAAGATTGAGTAGTTTAACCTCAAAGGTTTCACGCTTTAGTCAATGCGGAGTATTAAATCATTACAACTTTGATTGATAGCAAATGATCATTCTACGTACACTGGTCAAATTCAATCGTCCAGTCAATGAAACTCCCTCAATTTGGACAAAACCTTGCCCGAGGCGACAACAAGTGTTTGTTCGCGTCTGGCTTACAATTGCAAGAGAGCGGAAAGATCCTTCTGACTTCCACATTCTCAGATCTTCCCAAGCGAGTTGAAGTGCTCAGCATTGACCCTTTCCCACCAACTTTGATTGGAATTAATATTGCCGATGCTGAGTGAATCGATCATCGCGGCAGAAAAAAGTCTCCGGTTGTCATTCATGCCTTTTAGCACACACAGCTTGAGCATCAAGTGAAAATCTAAGGCTTTTGTGTGCGCATCGCGTAAATCATGAAATGTGTCTGCAATTTGAGCGCGCGGTGAAAAGCTGCTGTACTCGAGGCGATCGGAAGGAGTCGATTATCACGGTAATTTAATTAACGAGAATACTCAATTAATTGATATGACAAAGTCTGGCCACAAGGCGAGGTGTCAAGAATCCGCCAGTTCACGGCTGCCCACCGACAATGTGTCAATATTGACTCACCTGCAAATGCAAACTCAGCATTTTTAATCACCTGCCGCGATAGTTATCTTTTTGGCGGGCGCAAAAAGCGCCGAGAATCTTTCCAAGATGAGCGAGTTCAATGGACATTGAAGCTCAGTTATTGCGCGCGTCTCGAGTGCACTGAGCGAGGCTGAAGCCCAAAGTGACTCACCTTCTGAGCCAAAGTCCCGGGCCTCTAATTGCGTGGAATCTGGCCTGCAGGAGTGCGAATGGTTCGAGCAAATATTTGGCACTGGCATTAGCGCACAAGATGGCGAAAGAATTGCTCGTGGCTGGGAAAGATTCTCTGTTTGCCAAAGGTGAGCATCAATTGTGGCCAAAAAACAAGAGGATGGACAAATATTTGGTCACATTAATTTAGGTCACATGTGCCGATTTGCGCGTGGAATAAACAACGTCCCGCAAAAAGCTTAAAAAATCGTCCAGAGCTTTGAACTTTGAAATGATGATCAGTACAAGAGTCGTTGCTACATTACAGATTCTGTGTTTCAATTCGTAAAAGCTATAAATTTAGGTTGGAACTTAGGAAATAGAATTAAAGAGTACTTCTAAATGCAATTAGTTTCTCTGGAAAACATCAAGGAACGTCCGGAAACACATAACCTCAATCTATTGCATTGAAATCTGGCGCTAATGAATTTTCACGAGACGAAATATATTAATTGACTTCAGGCGCCAATATTTGAAACCTTTCAGGT